GGGGGGGGGGGGGGGATAACACGGTTTTATAATCTAATTGCGCAGCGTCGAGCGCGATTAACGTTAACGTCGACGCAACCGAAGTCTTAACAACTTTCGGAAAAATTGATAGTCGATACAGAATCTTAATGGGAGACTCGGCGATAAGGCGTTTCTTTTTTCTTCGTTTCCTGTAAAAGCGTAATTTCTCTCCCTACCAAGCACGCACAAAACCGATAGAATTGTGCTCACATCGTTGCTGCTACACTACCNGCTGCTACACTCCCCCCCCCCCCCCCCGCCGTCCGCCGACGCGCGGACGAAGGAGAGGCAGGACTGTGTGTTCTCATACACTTTGTTAGACGACATTTATAATTATACATGTATCTCGTGAGGATAGATTTATCAAGCGGAACACATACTAGGATTATTACACATGTGAAATCACGTCCGTCCACTAAACAATTACTTGTTATATATATGTACACGGTGAACGAAAAAGGTAACTGTTTCAAACGTCATCCCCTACTACACGCACACACAGGGCGTCGCGTTCCTCCGTTGTATCCTTTTACACTGTGTTTCGCGTGCACTGCAGTTTGTACAGGCATATAAATATGCGTGTGCAAGTGAGTACAACGCGAGTGCGCGCTTCTACGTACGCGCATATATACGTATAAATATATTTACAATTGCTTAGAAATACACTTATACATACGCGCATGACGGAGAAGCGACGCGACCAAACCAAGGATACAGAGCAGGAGAGACGAGATCCCTTTCTCCACTTTTTCACAACGCAACATATACTCAGGGGGGAGGGGGGGGAGGCCGAGATAAAATCTACCACGTTGAATATATATTTCGTCATATCGGAACGAAAGAGGGCTACTTTTCAGTTCGAATAATTATAGTACCACACAATTTATCCTTCGTAATTACGATTCTACAGAGAAGACAAGCAGTTCCCTCCTCCCCCTCTTACACCGTCCCTCGGATACATCCATCGTATCTCGTTCGAATAATGCCTATTTCATAAGTGCTATCTCGACAATTGACCGAAGAAATAACCATCGTGTGATATGACATCTAATTTCCACTTCGCGCACGCCTTAACGCGATTCATGCTAATGTACTACTTAAACGCACTACCTTCGCGCTACTATATCAGCTATCTACCACCAGTTTTTACAAGCAACCTTGCATCCGGAAGTTGAACATCTATTACTCCAATTTTATCATTTACGTATGTGCAACATTGTGATAATGCGATCGTGTCTTTCTCGTCGATAAAAAATCCGTAAGCCTTAGCCGTTTACTTCGAACAAGGTCATTTGTAATTACAGGATGGATGAATTTTCGTCACTGAAACGCGTTAACAAACCTGTTTACAATGTGTGAAAGAAAAAAAAGAAAAGATCCCATTTGATCGTCCGATTTATACGCATTTCGCGTACGTATCTCTTTTCATATAAATGCGAATACGTCAATTAAAAAAATTCCTCTCACTATCTATCTTTCTTTCTTTCTTTCTTTCTTTCTTTCTTTCTTTTTCTCTCTCTCTCTCTCTCTCTCTCTCTCCTCTTTGTCAATCGTAATACTTATGACGGTTCTCGAAGCTGAAACAATATAATATTACGTACTTTACAAGATACGAGTCTACTTGTTACTTTTGTTTCGCGAACTTTGAAACAAAAACAAAACGGGTTTCTTAACGGGTTTCCTTAAAAGCGAGTTTTTTCTTTTATACTTTAAGAGCGGCTTTGGGAGACCAGTGGTGGAAACGGGCAGGTCCTGCGGGATATGAGGGTGGGTGTATCCACTTGTTCCCCCGGTGCCCGATGAAGGGTGGCGGGGAAGGTCCGGCTAGAAACTGAGGGGGCATTATATTGTACCACGGCTGGTTTATCGGATGAGGACCGTAACCCATGCTGAAGGAGTGACCGAACCACGAACGGTTTCTGTTCAGGTGCAGCCGAGGGCTGTTCAGATTACGCCTCCTCGCTGTACCGTTATTGCTATGCTGTTGATTTTGATTAGCGGAACTCAGCGGCTTTGTTTTCGCCTGTTGTTCTGCGCCAGCGTTTAGAGGGGATTTCTAAAGGGGAACACACATATACACAGATTTGCTTGAGCTCAAGTTTATTTCGGATCATTTGACGGACCCACGTATATAAATTTCAACTTTGTATAAAAAAAAGGGGGGAAAAAAAGAAAAAAGAAGAGATGTATATGGGATGATCGTAAGATACATGATGTGTGAATAAAATACTGATACTTCTTCCTTTCACCGATTCAAACAAAGTGGAGACTCTTACGTTGGCAGTTTCGGAGATATTCAGTCTTTCCATTTGTAAGTCAATCCTTCTTAAATATATATATATATATATATATATATATATATATATATGTGTGTGTGTGTGTGTGTGTGTGTGTAACGTATAATAATTAATGTTAACATTTTGAAAGTTCAACGTGTCAATCACTGTTTGTCCTCTCCGCGGGCGGATTCTGTACTGTTTCAAACTGTGTATCACAGGATCTCTGAAGAAATAGCTCAAAAGGTCGGTCTCACCATGTGTGAATAAAATTCGAAGGATAAAATACCTAAAATATGAAATGCCGATTTGCGTGGCAAACTCTTGCTGAAAATTCTCGCCGCTATGAACAATGATCGACAGCGTTAAACTTTTAATCGACGCGCTTATATTTACGTAAAAAAAAAAAAAAAAGTGTAAAATCTCACGAACGTGATTGAAATTTCATCGCATCGAGGACAAGGTCTTGCGTTCACTTTTCCGAATTAAGATATCCGTCTTGCAAATTTGCGGCCCCGACAACGACCTCGCTGGGAAAGCTTTCACACGTATTACAAATATACGCGTGATCGTATGTGAAGAATTTCATTGATTTGCAAATCAGCAAGTATTGATTATCTCCGAGACTCTCTCAGAGTGAGTATACGTAATTTTTCATCCTGGTAGTGCGTACCTGTATCTTGGTGGGCCCCTCAATCAGCTTGTTTTCTTTCTCCGCGTTCTCGCTATCGAATAAGGGTACAGTGTTCTCCTTGTCGTCGAACAACGCCAGAGTGCAGTACGATCCCTTGCTCTCGCCGAATCGACAGGCGACCTCCTTAGGGTCGACCCAGAGCGTCAATTCCACCGGCAGCGACAGGTCCTCGTATTTTACACCGGCGGCGTTCGCGGCGCTCTCCAGGGTCGCGTCCCTGCGATTATGGCCGTTGACGCGGATGCAGCGGTAACCTTGGCCCTTGAACGGCTTGTCCGGGAACCAGTGGTTCTTGAAACGTTCCATCAACAGCTCGACCAGCCGCCGCTTGAAACACTCCAATTGAGCGGGACTAAATTTTTCGCTTTTTTCGATCAGCTGTACTAAGAACAGTACCGCCGCTGTAACCTCGTTGCGCATGTTGCCGCTGTCCTTGGCCTGGATTACAAGCTGCCGGTGTGCACCTGCCGCGATACCACAGTGCGAGACTCTCGGAAACTAAAGTACCATTCGCCCAAGTCGACGTGGAGCACATAGAGCCCTTCTGCACCGTCGCAGCGCTGGAACTTGTCAAGATCTATGTTTCCGGCGTGTATTGTCCGCGTCTTGGCCGCACTATCGTACACCGATGTTGTGCAATATCGTCGCAATTTCACAGCTCCTGTTCTTCTCTACCAAAGCCGTCGTAATCTGTGAGACAGACGAAGCAGACGATGTACTGATGCATTGCATCGTCCGAGCGCACCTGTAGGTAAATTGTGTATCTCGAGACACGAGTGAGAATTACAAGAGTGAGTAGAAATTCACTAGAAATGTTGATCAATTTAACTACAGTCGGCTGCGTTCAGTGATTAGCGGTCTTTACTGTTAGATCCCTAAATTTAGATCAATTACATCGACAGATTATTCAACCATTGCGTTTCCTGAACACAGAACCAATATTTCAAGAAATCCGCTCACTTTTGTGCTTCCCACTGTATTTCTCGAGACGCACGATCGACTTCCTAAGTGTTTTGATTCGAGAGACACCGAGGTATTCGCATGGTCCTTTTTAGCTGAGCCAGCTGCACCAGTTCAAGAAATACCCACATACATGCACACAATGAAGCATATTGAAGCGCGCATACGAGATTCTCACGCTTCGGTATGCGCGAATTTCTCGAACCGCAGCCGGTTTAGCGAAGAAAAAAAGAAAACAGACCAACTGTTCGACGAGTGAAAAATATCCGGAAAGATAAAATCCAACGAATGTTCCGCATGATCCGCTTCCACGCGCGCATAAGCGGAAACACGTGTAATTTATTTATACGTGCACAACACACGCGCGCACGGAAAACGTGGGCCGTACGATTCCACGCGAGTAACCGTACGGTACATTCCGCCGATGAAAGCCGCCGCCGGGCGTAATTTCGAGCCGCGCGCGAGCATCTCCGATCGGAGACCCGACGACTCTCGTCCTCGGCGGGGCGCTCGGCAAAACTGGAACGCGAGACGCGTTCCACTTTCCAACCGAGCCAACCAACGCTCTCGGAAACACACCGTCTGTTTGTTTGTTTCTCGTTGTACCTGCGTGTACGCGCGCGCGAGAGAGAGAAAGAGAGACACGTGCATGCCGCGGAGCCGCGCGTCCGCTCACACGGCCGATCGCACGCCCGAATCCCGCGATCGCAATATGTTATGCGTGCGCCAACCAGGTTATGTTCCGCGCGATACGAGCTACCTGGGTAGGTTAGGCGGATCGTCTGTCAAAGGGATAACGCGTGCGGATCGCTCGACCGTTCTCACCAGCGGTGGACACACACGGGGCGATTCCCCGCGAGATTCGCATCCGAGATGACGCATCGTCGCGGATCGGCGGGGATCACACGCGACGATTTCTGCCAGCTCATTGCCGTCGTACCACGTCGCACGGCCGATCTCCGTCGTCGTCGTCGTCGCCGTAATACCACGTCCCCGCGGATGTCGCCCGGACGGCGTTCGCAGTTTTGTTATTCGCGCACACGGCGAGACGCGCCGAATCGTATGGTAATTGACGGATAATATCAAGTGATATCTTACGAATCAGTGACGAAAATTCCGTGCGTGTTGCTAGTGAAACTACTACGTCTTCTCTGTTCCTTGAAATGAAGCAGTCTCGAACCAGAGAACTTGGCAGAGCAGGAGAGAGGCGCCAACCGGGTCACGTGACCAGCCGCCCCGTCATTGGCCGAGGCTCCGTTCCCACGGCGGTGCGTTCGTGCATCGAACTTCCTCTTCGACTGCGTTCGGGAATCTACATTGTGCACAGTGTGGATTCCCGAACGCAACTTGAAACCGATCATCATCGACCATTGCTCACTGTTGTCCCAGCCATAATTGAGAAACAGAAGAGAGCACAGTCCGCTTTTGTTTTCCGAATACAGCTTGTATTCAGTTACAGTTGTTTCTGACACGCGATCTTTCCGAGAAATTGAGTAAAGAAGAATTCAATAAACGAGGATGTCTATAATTATCTTGAACATTGCTGGTCGCAACGCGGCGTTCCATTTTGACCATAGATGTCAATCGCGTGATAATTGTCGGTCTCGGTTGCTAGAATATTATTCACCAATGCGAGTAATACGGTCGGAAGGTGTTGGTTGGGACTGTACTTTTGATAGGACGCGTGCAAATGACGCACAGCGTGAAATAATGCAAAAGACGCATTGAAATAATGGTATTTTCCAGTAGATCGTTCAATATTCACCCGTCCTCAAGCGAATATTTTATTCCACACTTTTATCCGCTCATTTAATGTAAGGAAAACAAATGCAATGGCGCTTTTAATGCAAGACAACCGTTAAGTAAAAATGATCTTACAATTGGTATGTTACTTTCAAATCTACCAATCACGTCCGTTTTTCAAAGATGTGTCATTCAATATAATCATCGTATTCGTTAAACGCAGATATACTGTGACTTTCTTATCATTTGGCGGAAGAACGTACGTAATAATAACTACGTGGTGGCTTCTAAGTGTTCTATTAAACTTGTGAGATTTTTCTCCAAACATGTCGGTGTACTCATTTTCTCCAGGTTATAATTAACAAAATAATTAATACATTACGTTTTATTACATCGAGAGAATTTCTCTTTAAATTAACATATATTTATTTTTACATTTTTCCCATCTTTTAGAATTACTGGAAGTACACATTAATGAGCCAGCAGTCAACAAGCATATTCGACAAGTAAGATACAAAGCAACTACGCTAACGGGGAATAATAAAATAGCTTGGTTGCTAAAAGCGATAAGTTTCATCGATTTAACCACTTTAAATGGTGATGATACCAACAGTAATGTGGCACAACTTTGTAGAAAGGTATGTTATTAGATTGGCGAGCTTATTTTTCAAATTAATCAACCAATTAATGTCCAATCCACAGGCTGTCAAACCTATGGACAACTTGCCATTTGAATGGGACGAACCGCTTCACACAGCAGCGATTTGTGTTTATCCATCCCGTGTACAGGATGCGGTGTCTACATTGCATGAAATAGATGAAAACAAGATGGTCAAAGTGGCTAGTGGTGAGGAAACAGAAAGATTTCATTTTATAGTGGATTAATCAGTGACTCCAATTTTTGTTTTTCTTTTTTAGTAGCTGCTGGCTTTCCCTCTGGCCAGTATCCTTTAAAATCCCGATTAGAAGAAGTGCGTACTGCCATAAATAATGGAGCACAGGAGATAGATATCGTTATTGACCGTACACTAGCTTTACAACATAATTGGGTAAAATTGTACGAAGAACTAGTGGCCATTCGTGAGATTTGTGATGAATATGGTAAAATATGTCTGAAAACTATACTTTCAACTGGGGAGCTATTTAACTTGTATAATGTGTACAAGACATCCATGGTAGCCATGATGGCTGGTGCTGATTTCATTAAAACATCCACGGGAAAAGAAGCCGTCAACGCAACTTTGCCTGTCGGTACTGTCATGTGCAGAGCAATAAAATATTTTAAAGCGGAGACTGGGAGAAAGGTGTGTCTATGTGTGACTTATTGTTCTAATGAGATTCAGGTTTTATAATGTACATTTTACTCGTAGGTCGGCTTTAAACCTGCCGGGGGTATCAAGACCGCACAGGATGCCCTAGAATGGATGGTTTTGATTAAAGAAGAATTGGGAAACGAGTGGTTGACCAACTGTTATTTCAGAATTGGTGCATCTAGTTTGCTTGATAACATTACCAACGAAATTCTTAAGACCTACGATCCATATAATGACCCAGAAATATGTGATAAAAAGGATGATAAAGTTGAATCGGAAGTTTATAAGATTTTACAATGTTCTTGAAAATATTAAGTTTATATTTTTGGAATAATAATATTCTTGTTACTCTAAGATCTAAATTTTATATATATGATAAATAAATCTATATAAATATTATAAATATAAATAATAATGTAAAGTTTTTGTATAAATATGTATAATATATATGTATACTTATGTATATAATATATATTATGTAATTTTAGATTATGTATATTATATGTATCACCTTTTTTCAATCTTGAAAAATTTTAACTATATAATTTATTATTTTTTTGTTCTATACTTGTCGATACTTGTCGGTATAATACGTTACGTTACGTCTGTTGCTTCCACGACTGCTATAATGAATGCAGGTTTTAGATTATTCTATTAATCTTTCTCTTTTCAGCCTTTTTCCACCAAGTTTTAAATATATATTTTATTTTTAGGCACAGAAAGTGCAAATCTGAACAGATTTATTATTGAATGTATCATGAGCCAAATTATTTTATTTAATGTTATAAACATTTATCATTGGTTAAATTTAATTTCTCATTCCGCTATATATTTGACGAGCATCTAATTGATATATTTTTTTAAAGGTATAGACCAAACGGAAAAACATAGTATCATAGATTCTGTTGCTCTGTCATGCCAAAATCAGGTATTTTTAACATATCATTCAGGGTATCCATAAATAATAACTCAGAACTCTTTAAAAATTTCAGTCGAAAGACTTCAAACTTTATTTTTTAATAAATTATACATAAGATTCGGGAAACTCAAAGGTGACATCCCGTCCGGTCAGTTGCTTGTATACTGAAGCAAAGGTATCGACCTGTTAAAAAATAGTAAAATTTAGTGATACATGTATGAACAAAATATTTCCAAGTTTGAAGAGAACAAATATACCTTATGTTCAATGTTCGTCTGTTCATTTCTGTCTAGATGAACTTTGATAACCTGAGAACCATCAAGCCTAACTCTGGTACGCTTGCCAACAATCTCTACAGGATACACCAAATCCTCCAACAAAGCATCGTAGACCGCAGTCAATGTTCGGCTAGTATTAACAATTTAGTTGCGTTTATTAAATTACATACAAGCATTATTAAATATGTTTCTTGCTGTCTTTTATACCTTCTAGGACGCTTCTGCTTGTTCTTAGTACGGGTTTTCCTCGTTGGCTTAGGCAAGATTTTACGTTCACCAACAAACATTACATGTTTGCCAGAAAACTTCTTCTCTAATTCACGCACCAGCCTTGTTTGGATCTTTTGGAAGGCCTTCAATTTTGGCATCGGAACATATATAATAATCGACTGTAAAAAAACAAAATGGTTTAAGGAAAAAATAGCCTGTTAAAAAATATCAAATATAGATACATGTGTAGAAACAAAAAGAGCTATCATTTTAGAAGTTTTCATATTTTAATAAAATAAAATAAAATATGGCTTACTATCTTAAACTACGAGACTTAAAAAAAATTCTAACTATTAATTTCAATAACTAATTATCAGGATTAAAACTACGCACAAGTTAGAAATCAATCTTATGACAGCAAAAAGGATAATAAAGATACTTAAGTACAACAAGCTGAAACTTAAAACTACATAAAAATGAAAGCACTTAAGTCAAAGAAGAAACAGTACAAATACACAAGTACAGATACACAACAAAAACAGATATCCGAGGGATGAGTTTTACCTTCTTATTATTTGTCTCCATTTCTCTCGCCTTGGTAATATACAACTCCCTTAATTGCGACTTCAAGTCGCTGTTCATTTCCAAATCCAAAAGGGCATTGGAGATGCTCAATTCGAATTGGTCGGGCTCAGCCCCGGTGCTCTTAATGATCTTCGCGTTCGCTGTAAACATCTGAAGAGGTTTTGAGGTTAGAATATCACCTGTACTAATTGCGTCGACATGCGTACAAGAAATGTACTCAACTATCGCAATGTTACATTAAAACTCTCGTAGACATTGGAAAGTATTTTATAATATAAAACTAAGTATTAAATACAACATTATTTCGGACATATGATTTACGGTCTATCAGATACATTGCAATCGCAATGTTCGCAAATTTAGTAGAAATGTGACACGTTTTATACATTAAATATATACATATAGCACATGTGTAATAGAATTTTACGTTTCTTCTAAATATTTTACACCTGTATTGCCTGGTTAAGACAAAATCTCACGAAGTACGAACCTTGCGGGTTTCAGGACCACGTGGAAAAGAAAGACGGATCGAAACGAAGAGAGAAAATGGTCTACACAGAGAGTGTAACACGGCAACGGAAACGCATCCATAAGTGGTTACGGCTGCCTTCGGAAACACCACATTGGGGGTAAGGTGGCATTTAATTGACTGATCACGATAAGGAAATTTTAGTTCTTTTTGTCCTGATTGGTCAATTATGGGTAGAGATCCACTTCATGTTGCGAATGCTTCAAAGCGCCGTATAGACCGATCATATTCTTTCTTTGAATACTTCAAAGCATTTGCAGCTTCAAGTGGATCGTATCCTATATGCCATTCTGACATACTCCAGGGTGATATTTCTGAACGCAGCCGAAGTAGAACTAAATTAAGTTGGGTTCGGGAATTCACACTATGTGCACATCATCAGTTTGGATTCCCGAACGCAACTTAAAAGGCTTCGATGGAAACCGAGCCACTGAATGGTTGTAATACTGAAGGCACCGTGTGATTCCGATCTTTGTAATTATTATATTGATCCAACCATCGCGATTTCAATTTTCTGACACGTGGTGACTGTAGAAAAGTATTTATCGTGCTCTTTCTGTTTAGAAGTACAAGATGGTAAGTTTGCTACGGACGGTTTGAATTGAAGGATCCGTTTGCATCGCATAAATATGTTATATGTTTTTCTGCTGCGGAAGAGATTCGTAGTGCAGATTTTCGCGTAATCGTTAGCATATTTAATAAACGTTGAATATATCTTACTGGTGGAAAAACAATAATGTTATATTTCTGTATGTCACACCACTCCAATCTGCTTATTTTTTTCAAACTCAGCTTTTCTAGATTTATGTATTAAGTGTACAAATATTGTAATTATGGACGAGAGATTTTTGTTACAAAAACTGTATGATTCCACTAAAAAAATCAAAGTCGACCTTAAAAATCGAACATTTTAATGTCACAATATTACCATCTTATATATTTATCTTGAAATCTTACAAAATTTTATTTTATATATTTTTCTTATAAATATTTGGTTTTTGAGATATTTAAGGGACCCAGAATTTTTCATACATACTTTGTACATAATATAATCCAAGCATATATATATATAAAATTTCAGTTCATATAATATGTTATTGCTTGCTAAAATATCTTTACAGGCTCGTGGTCCGAAAAAGCATCTCAAGCGTCTCAATGCACCGAAAGCATGGATGTTGGATAAATTAGGGGGTGTGTATGCTCCCCGGCCATCCACTGGTCCTCATAAACTTAGGGAGTCACTTCCCTTGGTTATCTTCCTCCGCAACAGACTAAAGTATGCCTTAACCAACTGCGAAGTAACTAAGATCATGATGCAGCGGTTGATTAAAGTTGATGGAAAAGTTCGCACCGATTCCAATTACCCTGCTGGTTTCATGGGTATGTTCTTGTTATTTTGCACTATTTGTATGTAATATATACATTACATTTTTATGTTATTAAATATTTAGTCAAACTGTATCGAAGCTATGATGTTTGTGTTTATAAGAGATTTGTCAATTTTCAATCGAAGACTAGTGCTCAATATGTGTTTTTCAAGTTTCCATATAGTTTTATACAATTTTGTAAGTTGTATCTGTAATTTAATGTTTATATTACAAACAATAATTGTACTTAATAATTACACGATCAACTAAAAAAACTAATTGCATTATGGCCCCGCCGAAAAACTATCGCACATCTGTTCTTAAGATAATAATCTTGATAATGATTTTGTGGATTGTTGCTGATTCTCTTGCAACAATAAAATCATGAACACAAAATATTGCCACGAATATAAATTATTAAATAATATTTCCATGCTGTTGATCAAATAAGAGCTTTTTGCCTTAACCTGAGCATTATATAATGAAACATTATATTCTTTCTGTTTTACCGGGGAAGAATATTTTAATACATTTAATACATTGTACAGATGCAACGTGATCCGTGTGCAAAACACGAAGATTAATTGCAATTGTAATTCGATTTCTTCAGATGTTATTACCATCGAGAAGACCGGCGAATTTTTCCGATTGATTTACGATGTGAAGGGTCGCTTTACCACGCATCGCATTACTGCGGAAGAGGCTAAAGTAATTATTCGATGTCATGTGTACGTTTTTCCGTGATAAAGGAGAATAGTGCCTTACTTATATGTAACATTGCTTATTCACAGTATAAGTTGTGCAAAGTGAAGCGCGTTCAGACCGGCCCCAAGGGTATCCCCTTCTTGGTGACGCACGACGGTAGAACCATTCGTTATCCTGACCCGGTTATAAAAGTCAACGATACCATTCATCTGGATATTGCCACCGGAAAGATCTTAGATTCCCTCAGATTCGATTCTGGTAATATATATATGTGTATATAATACATGTGTGTATGTATGTGTGTGTATATTTTTATAATATATTTTATATAGTATCAAACACAAAAATGGGAGAGGAACATATCAAGTTTATCTCTCTGTTTCTAGGTAATCTATGCATGATTACTAGCGGAAGAAACTTGGGTCGTGTTGGTACCGTCGTTAGTCGTGAACGTCATCCTGGCTCCTTTGATATCTGTCACGTGAAAGATGCGCAAGGGCACTCCTTTGCCACGAGGTTTGTATGATTAAGTTTTACTTATGTACAAATTTAAACATTTAGTGATTTTTCTCCAGCATACACTGTTTTATCTAGTAAAACAGGTTTTTCGGCTTGTTATCATTAATTAGTGCGAATTTTCGATAAACGATGCGCACTTTGATCATCTGAAACTTTAAGATACAGATGATCAAAGAAAATTCGGCAGAATTTTCTCTTAATATTGGGCCGTATCGAAGCTGTCATATGTATTGTATATCGCGTATAACAGTCTAAAACTGGCCGAGATCGAATCCCTTCATATTGGTCACGGATCACCGTTTCTAGTTCGGTTTTCCGTATTACCCTAGAAGGAAACAATATTCCCTCTTTTGCAAATAATTTCTAGTACTATGTAATCGTAGTTTGTTTCAATATTTTTTTACACAATACGAATTCACTTAGGTTAAACAACGTCTTTATCATCGGTAAGGGCACAAAAGCTTATATAAGTTTACCAAGGGACAAGGGTGTGAAGCTGTCGATTGCTGAAGAACGCGACAGAAGATTAGCTGCAAAGGGAGTAAATTAAGTACATTTATTATTATAAGAAAAGATTCAATAAACCGAAGTTGCCTGGACAATTCTTTTCACGAGTATTTTTAGTATTTATTTGGTCACCTTTGTAAGTAATAGAAAATTCAAGCATTAAAGAGCGACTCATTTTTCTCATTTATTTCGTCACTTATTTAGAAACTTATTTTACTTTTTTCTCACTTTTGAGAAAAAAATTTACTTTTCTCTTTTTTTTTTCTTATTTGACTTGAACCCTTTCAAAAGTAGACTTTCAAATTACACAGTGGAATCAATTGTCCGCATTTGTCCATCTATAATTTTTGTTTGTCTACCGAGTCAGAGTGAGTTATTAACAAACAACGAACTCAACAAGACAGACAATGACCGTCATAAGCACATCAGACGGTTTTTTTTTTTCGAATTGAATATTCTTTGAATAATATGTTGTTAAGTTGTACAACTTGAAAAAGATTTTTTTATTTGCTGTGCAATTTTTCACCGTCGAGAAAAGCGATCCTTAACACTTAACACTAAAGTGTAAAATGTATAAAATTGTGCAAAAACCTGATAATGTTTCTTGAAAACAAGAGAATTTCTTCCGTCTAGCTGAATTGGTAAATTTGAAGATAAAAGTACATATGAATTACCGTCGTACCGTTAAAAAGTGAGAATGAGTAGGAACGGGTTTCAAAGGCAATTTATACGAAGTATGCATAACAAAGATCGTTGGAATACACAACACAAAAAGAGACGCATACATTATAGTATACATTGTTCGAAGTATCTTTTAAAATAGTGCTGTATAATTTGAGAGTAAAAGCATAAATACAATAGACGAGTAAATTTGGAAATTATGGGCGAGATCGAGGAAAAGTGCAGACTTTCACTTCTCTGGCAGCCAAACTTCCGTGTCCAGTTCGATCGCGTTTTGTAGAAGACTATTGCATTGCTCGTCCTTCAACTTTTCATTCCTGTGTTGCACTTCTTTCGCGGCTTTTAAGTACCTACCAAGAAGAGAAACGCGTCATCACGCACGACTATTACAAATAACGAAATAATATTGAGATTCCAATGAAAAGGTCAAAGCGGATTACTTTCGTATACAAAGGACCATATTCTTGATTTCGTTCTCGGTCGTTCTGGGCGACGGTCTTGCATATTCCGTATTTTTCACATGTTTCGTTCGAATAAACGGACAGATACGAATCCATCCACCTTCCCTCACACAGGGGGTTCTCCAATCTCTGCCGTTGTCCCAGATCGGTGGCGATGCACGATCCTCGATCGTGCTTCCCTTAAAGCCACGGCGGTCCATTAACAGCGAATTGTAACGAGACCAGGCAGTTGGGCAAACTTCCGGCGTTGATTGTCTCAGCTGAGCGAAAAATCATGCAGCAGCAAATATTAAAATTATTTTTCTTAAATAAGCAATATACGTCCACAATGCGTGTGCGAAATTGTTCTCAATGTCACGTCAAACGAGTTTACCATTTAATATTCAGTATTGAATGTTTAATGCTTAATATATTTTTAATATATATTTAATATTTATTACATTTAATATTTAATGTCTTTAATTTCGCGATTTTTTAAATATCTTTTAGGTATATTTAACTTTTTAAAAGATATATTCTGTCTGTTAATTTTTGTCGTGATTTGGAAATGTTACATTCGACGTGCGATCGGCTGATGATCCACGTTACAAAATAAAAAAGTTTCTACGCAAATACCGTGGCTCGAGTCTCCGGGGAGAGATTTAGGAAAGCGTCGGCTTCTCGTCCGAGCCTCGACTTCTTTTTCGTAGAGCGGCCGAATTTGGAAGACACTTCGTCCTCATCCTCGATGTGGCGATCGGAGGACCAGATTGTGAACAGGGATAGTCCGGTGTTACACACTGGAAGACCTAACAGATCAAACAGATCGTGCAGTAAGGGCTTCTTCACTTCCGAGTCGACTTCGCAGTCGTTACTTAAAGCTGGGCTCAAATTCACCTGTGGAACGTGCGATTACATTGTAGCGTTTCACACTCGCGTGCACGCCAAAAAAAAGGAGAATATAATTGTTTTATCTAATTATTTCGAGTCATTTTTTATACATATATGTATATACTAACTTCTAAGAGCCACGGCTTCAAATTCTCGTCGATCAATACGTCGAAACCGAAAAATTCGAAACAATTCGAGGATCTGGGAATGCTTGCCACTTGACTCAGGATCGTCAGAGTCACTAGACACGAGATTCTCTGCCAAAGAATCCAATCGAAATATCCCGATTGCTCGAAGTATCTTCTTAGTTGTCGAAACGTCCATTTGCAACCTACATATGGACGAACATACTTTACATCACTCGCAAAAAACGCTCGCCTTCGCTCGCTGTTAATGTCCTAAGAAATACCGGCACCAATGCGTTCCTTTTTCTCCGAGTATCCTGGTCCCAATTTGTTCAGAGAGAAATTCGTGAGGTGTCGGAAAGGATCGTCCAAACGTTCCAGGGAAAATTTCTCGGTGGCGAAACGAGCCAAGCCTTCCTTGTACAGGTAGATCGTCAACGGGCGATACGACGGTACGCACACGTACAAGCGAAGATCGAATTTGTAGCCGCCGATCAGCAGAGGATTCTCAATGTACTTCTGCACAACTGCGGCATTGTCGTACGACAGATCGCTTAATTTCTAGAAGGATACATTTAGACGGTTTACACGATTGTTCAAATATCCTACCCTTGTGTGGTTGAAGTTTGAAACGATCTTCGAGCGAAAACTAAGAAAAAATTTTTTCAAGTCAAACATCCAGAAAAAACCAAAATATGTAGAAACAATAAAATTGTACGAAATATGTCGATATGAATATGAATAAACGAGAGAAACGGAAAAGATTACCCTGTCTCTTATTTTTTCTATAACTTCTCTGTTTCCCTTTTCTGTTTATATATATATCTGAGAATTCACTATATTGTGTAATTTTATCTTGGTAATATGTAAAAAAATTCAAGCATTTGTGCGATGACATTTTTGGGCTGTGTTATTGCGTATTCTTCAGAGAAACGCTTACACGAAACAAGAAAATCCCTCTCCCCTGACTTTGACCGACCGGCTTACAGATCCAAACTTTGTCGTCCTTTTCGTAACGACTGCACTCTTCAGCTAATCTCGTGTATTCGGAAGGCAAGTTGTATCCTTCGGGGCTGGCGCAACGGATTAGTATCTTATTATCATAAACGGACTTATTCTATTCTATTCTGTCATGCACAGTACCTGAAGTCATAAATTGAACCGTGAATTTTCTTCATGCACTTCAAGTGGCGTATCAGTTTATCCTTCCGGCAGATGGAATTTCCTTTTGGTATCCGATTCACGAACTGCGAGCGAGAAATAACCTGACATACTATTCTCGCCAATTAGTTGTGCTTTTAATAAACAATTAAATTATTAAAATATAAAAGAAACCACCGAAGATACCATGCTTTTAATAAACAATTAAACTATTAAAATATAAAAGAAACCACCGGTGAGCTTAAATTAAATGTAATCACTTGGTTAAAGCGTACATAAATAATTCGAAAAACAGATACAGACGTCTCGTGAATTGATCATGCAGTGAGAAGATTGCGATTAAATTTTAATTGATTCTTTTAGCAGCGGAATTAGAATTAACGAACTCAACGGTGATCTCGGAATCCGACCAGGATTCTGGAAGGAATCGGAATTAGCTCAGCGTCGGTCACTTGGAAATTTGCGCAGGAGTTCCCTTTCTTTTTCGGGCGCTTGTTATTTACATTTCGAGCTTTTAAAACGCGAGCGGATTGCGTTATTACCTGCCAGGGGAGTAATGGCCTGTAATGCGACGTGGAGAAACCGCCGGACCGCCACCATAAATTCCATCGATCTTTGAATACATTATTTTCGCCGGCGTACTCCCGCCATCCGCGTTCCGTGCAAACCTGTAAGAAAACATTCGCGATAAGCGAAAAGGGCGGCTGATATTGCCTGGGCTATTCCGAGGGCAAAAGTACTATTTATATGACTCGTCTCAAATGTCGATATGCGTGAATGCTCGAGTATTTTTCTCGTTGCCAGACAGGAGGGAGGATTGCCAGGCAATCTCCTCCCCCTCCCTTCCCCCTTCTTGTCCCTTACCACGGTATAAAACGATGTAAGACTTTTAACACAATGACTACCGAATGCGAGTTAACTCGCAGCCGTGGCGTGCGAACGAGATTCTCCGTTCCATGCATCAATCACGAGTTAACTCGCATCGGTTTTTTCCCCTCTTTTCTGCTGAGTAATAAATATAATTATTTAATACATTAAAATGACACGCTGATTTTTTCCGATGGGAACAAATTTCGCCGATGCCACTATGACGCGCTAAGGCGTGTTACTTTTTTAAAGCACGGTGTGGACATGGAGGCATCCGAAGATCTCGCAAAATAATCGATACAGCCCGATCGATTTTTGGATCCTCCTTTCGTTCGGATTCGTAAAACTAAGCGAGATTGAGCCCGCGCGACTTTTGCGACGCGAGCGACGGGCAAACCGGTATCGGATGAAAATAGTCGTTTTATCGATACGATTAGTCCGTAGATATAAATATTCTCTCACAAGCGAGTTTCGAGTATTTTATCGTCTCACAAAAATATACGCTAATGTGTTGGATAAACCGTCGAAGTATACACCGCAAATCGATATCGATTTAACGTTGCATACACAAAGAAAGAGGTTTCTTTAGATTTTGTATTTCTATTTATTTGACTAAAATTTCATTTCATAAAACAACAACATATTCGAAATATTATTTGTTTGGATAAGAATTATATTTGTCTCCTTCAAGAAAACTCTATTATTTAACAGAAAGAACGCTATTATTTGAAATAATAACCTTTTAACCGAATAAAATATTATTTGATTACAATCAATATGTAAAATGAAACAGATAGATTTCTTTATGAGAAAATCGTCTTTCTTCATTTCGAACAAATTTTTTCTTTACGATAAAGATACATAGTTTCGTTGAAAAGTCTAACAGTCGTACTTATTAAACAAAACATTAGTTTCTTCGGAGCATGCGCCGGTGATGAAATTTGTTTGTGGATGCGGTAAAATTTATTAAATTTGACGAAATTTTTTTCTCAGTGTTTACCGCGCGCGCGTCCATCGCGCGGATATTCTCCGTTCGGCCCGAACCTCGAGGAAGTCGGATTTTCGATTTCGGAAGGCGAGAACGGATAGTTAATTGCGCGCGTTAATTGAGCAGACAGTGCGCTTACGCATTTCAAAGTTTCCGGAACTTTCGGGTGATATACGCAAATAGCGACGGGCCGTCCTTGATTTATTGTCGTATTATTAGAACATCAGGAATGACTGCGCGTGCGATATCAGAAGCGAGTCAAGGCCTTTGATTACAATTAAATCGGTCCGCACGACACGCCGCTTTAATTATGCGAGCACGAATAAATGAGAAAGGCGAGGAGCGTCGCGGCTAATTCGGGAATGATAGCGTATGCACCCGTGCACGCTAATACGGCATCGATAAAGTTATCGTTGCAACGTCAGACAACGATTAAATCGCGCGATACGCGTTCTTTCACCCGGTGCACCGCAAATCCAGACGTTTAATTGAGAGACTAATTAACGTTAGCCGATGATAATGATAATGCTGATCGACGAATTCCAATGCGTACATGTATAGAGAAAAAGATTTCTTTGGATTCGACAAAATTTCTTTAATTTAAACAAATTTGTCGTTCGGAATGGAGCAAACAAACGAATGTTTGATTTAATCAGCAGGATTGTTTCGTTTCTCAAACAATAAATATCTTGACGTCAAATAACGTACTTCTTTTGTATTTTATACCAATATTACAATGGTTGTCAGAAGAAATAAATCATTTAAAAGAAGTAACGCTATGTTGGAAAGACATTAAATAACTTTCTTGTTTTAGTGGAACAACCCCAAGCAGCAAAATGACGTCAGAGATCTGACGTCGATATGATGTCACAATGACGTTGCGTCTGACGTCTATCAAACAACATGATTTACTCTCGTGAAACAACATTTTCATTCGAACAAAATGACACTCGATATGAAATTATATTGTTTATATTAAACAAATCCGAGTTAAACAAACACGTGTACTAAACCCGAGGAAATCCTTTTCTCCGTGTATCATCGCGATTGCTGAAGTAACGAAACATAGTGATTGTCAGTTCCAATCATCAAACCAATCGTTAGAGTTCGTCAAGGCATGACGCGACGCACGTTAGTCGGGTACAGCGGGCTGCAATTTTTAGATCAGCTAAGCAATAGTTACCGATTCGAATTTCGAATGTTCCTTCTTGATTTAGTAACCGTTCGTCCCCCGTCGCAATTTAATCATCATCCCGGGGGATTCAGATGTTTCCCGGAGCCGGTGGTACTTATGTAGATTTCCCGTGGCACGCAAAGGATTCCGAAAATTCGTAGGGTAAATCCCCCGAGATATGTCATTATTTGATTTTGATTAATCGCGCGCGTTGCACAGCATTGGCGAGCCCCGCTTACGGAGGCCCGGCTCGGAGCTTATTTTAGACACGTTTATGCAAACGCCCAATGACTCGGGCGAATTATACGCCCGTCACTGGCAAGCTTCCATTTTTTTCAGTCGTCCTTTCACGGATAACCCAATTTTTTTCTGTTCTATTCCGCGTCCGGCCGCGGGTAACGATCAGAGGGAGGGCGAACGAGCAATTGGCCTAATAAACGATGCCTGTCACGAGCGAGGCAACTTCGCAACGCTGCGTTCCCATGTGACGCTTTGACATTCAAGCGGTGCGGCCTCCTTGGACGCGTAACGACGGCGACGACGAGGGAAAAAGTCAAATAGGTTTCACGACAGGGATCGCGATGAAACCCCGCAAATTGCCGAACGGCCCCTTCGTACGGGGAGCTGCGCGAAGTCAGAACAAATACCGCGGTTAATTACGCGCGGTTACATTCTATCCGTTCTCCCCGGGAAATTATTTCAAATTCGAAGCAAAGTCGGAGAGTCCGCACTGTGGTCGGTTCATCACGCAAGGCGAACGCGGAGGAACTTTCGTTCGCTTTTATCCTGCTGTGGATCTGCGCACGGTACGTGTATCGTTCGGAATTATTCGTGAGCTGTTTGAAAAGTGCAAATTTCCTCAATCGATATCTCGAACAGAGTGTTAGCGTCTTTCGGAATAACAGGCGGCGAAAGTCGAGTTCTCCCTCTTGTGCGAAACTCCTTATCGCCCGTCCAAATTGGACCTTGTCTCTTCCGAGGTGCAATTACAAACGTAATTAGCGAATATTACAAGTTTGCGACTGATAACGGTTGCTGACGAAATTTGATTCAAGGAGGCAATTTAGCTTCGAACTCATCGAGGCATCGCAGTCGCTCAAATTAGAAATCGGAAGTTGCAAAAGAGCAGTTTACACTGAACGAGCCTCTATTAGCTAAACGAGCTAATGTCAATTATATTTTTACGTTTACAGGTGCAATGGCACACGTAACGATAACTATCGGGGTGCGATTAAGTAGCGTGAAAAATTGCAATAAGTGGCAGCACTTTCGCCATCCCAAAAATCTCCTCCGACTTCCGCTCTCTCTCTCTCTCTCTTCCTTCTTCTCCTTCCTCCCTTACTTCCTCTTTTACTTTCTTTCCTTCCTCTTTTTTTTTCTTTTTCCTCGTTGCATGTCGCACTTACTTCATCGTCGCGTCTAAAAGCGGCGAATGCACGCAGAGGCGCGTTGCATTCGTCTGCCGCTGCGGGTATGCACGTATGTATGTATCGTACCTTGAAAAGTATTTGGTTCAAGGCTGTGTCTAAGTTTGTAACACCGTGCCGCGAACAAAGTCCAAGGGACATAAAAGTCAGAACCCGAATGGGGTGCGGGCGGGCGGGCAGATCTGTTTCCGACACGTTTATGTAGGAATCCAGTGTACGTACGTGAGTGAGCGTTTCCCTTTCGGAGCCGACGACCCTTCGCGTCGAATCGAATCGATCTCGGGGAATCATTCGCGATGCACACCGCGCCGCTGCGAAGCGTTTCGGCGCTCGTGCAAAAACCAACGGGTGTCGTTTGGATTTTCACGTGGACGAAAGAGACGAGCTTCAATCGCGGCAACACCGAACAACGCGTTTCCACGCGAACCGAATTTTCCGCTGACCGGGCAGGAACGGGAAAACTCGGTTGCAGGAACGGACGGATTCCCGTGGGAGGTTTTCTAGTCAGGAAATATTGCTCAACCGAGTTTTAATATACTGAGAGGGATTATAGTTATCTTTCACCTCACATGTACCTTCTTTATGATTTTGACTGTACATCGAAAGGGAATTGCTATTTTCAAGTAAATATTTATTAAGGAGTGTTGTAGTAATTTATTTTATTTGGATTAAGTAAATGTCATTGGAATGTAGCACGCTGGAAGAAAAAAAGTGCTACATTCAAGCAATATTTACTTAATCCAAGTAAAATAAATCACTACAATATTCCTTAGTAAATGTTTATTTGAACATAGTAGTTTTTCTTTCAGCGTAAGAATAGTAGAAGCAAACATGCATGTAAGGTTGAAAAATGGTCCTCCTGATTATAATTCTTTCACTGTGACGATTATAGTTACGAATATCAAATATTTTTTTCCAGGTAAACAGTCGAATGTTCGGACGAATGTTTTCGGTCGCGGTAACAAAGATATTATATCTCGCCACCGAATTTTCGTCTGGTCTCCTCGTTCAGTTACGCGAACTGAGACTTTGTTTTTTTCTTCCGTATACAATTTCCATGTGTGCGTCATGTTCTGTCGTGAACTTTATCGATCGTCGTTCGTTCGAATTGCACTTTCGACCGTTTTACGAAATAAACCCGGCAGAAAGCGTGATTTTTACGGACCGATCGTCACCTGTACAAGTAGAAGCGGTCCGGTGCTGTTCTCGTTTAGCCTGAACACAAAAGGGCCTTCCACGCACTTCACTGCCATGCCGGAGCATCATACTTCCTCGATGCACGGTGAATCGAGAGCCTCCCGTTGGATCACGTCGATGTCACATCACACTCTGAGTGAATATTAGCGGCGTGCGCTGAGGAAAAGTAGAAGATTGTATCAGTCAAATGCATTATTGTATTTTGTCGCGTCGGCGAACTGACCACGCGGCATGTTTTTATCAGAAAACTAACAATAAAGTGTCGTGTGAAAAGCGTGAACGGATCAATGTGCAAATAGTGAGTGAAATTACATAACACATTAAGAGAAAAATACTTAAAAATTTATCTGGAAATAAGATTTATCTCACAGGAAGTTTGTCTCGCGGAAATCAATGTTATCTCACAGAAATAAGCCTTATTTCAAAAGTAATATATATTCAAAGTAGAAAAGAGCAAATAAGCAAGTGGTGTGCGATTAAAGGACGAGGTTGATGAAAGAACCATTCCTGGAATTAATCGACTAATTCGGTGAAGGCGCGTGACACGAGACATGTTGATCAACATGTTGGCGACGCCTGCGTGTCAACGCGCGTCGTGCAGGTGTATATCCGACGGTCCAACGTCAAGGATCGAATTTGAAACGCGAAGCGCGCGGAAATTGCGCGGCCACGTGCGTCGCGGTTCCACTTCGCTCGTTGACTCTGTCGAAGCGAACACAAACGAAGAAAAGTTAACACATATCTGCGAAACTACGATCTCACCCCTACAGACAGCACACATTCGTCAATAATCCCAATCCTCATTCGGGTGCTTTCGTTGCAAAGCGATATCGCGATATCCGCTTCGACTTACGGTCTCGGGAACACCTCGCAGACCGTATTATCTGAACATATCTGCGAAACAATTAGAAACGTCCGATTGTGCATCACCGTTTCCATCCATCGAGCGTCCCAGTTATCTGCAATTCGACGATTATCACTCCATCATTCGCGAACTCGTAGAAATCAAGCGATAAAAACAACTCTTTTTCGACGTCGCAAGCATTTCAGGTTACGTGATTCCCCGGTTGTTTCGAATTCTAAATACGATTCAAGTTCGTAAAGTTGGGGAAATAAATTACTATTGTACGAGAATAATCAACATCGTGCTGTTGCGAATTATAATCTCCCGCGCGTGAGTAATTAATTCGATGGTGAATCTTTTAAAAAAAAAAAAAAAGAAAAAAATAGAAAACTTACCTTAGGATCGTGCTCGGTAGAGATGACATCGCCGACGATTACGCCACTTCAACTTCAGCCACATCGAGAGTCACTCGTGCTTTCGATGCATCGAAACTCTCTCTTTCTCTTTCTTTCTCTTTCTCTCCCTCTCTTTTATTATTTCCGTCCGCGAAGTTTTGCCGCGTTGATAGCGGGTCTGGACAAGGCGGGATCTCGATTCTCACTGGTGCGCGGCCACGTTCCGGTCTACGCAATCGCTTTGACTCCGTTCGCAGGTGCGCAGGCTACCTGCCTGGTGTGTTCGCGCGGCCCGCTTGCAGCTTTTATGCGCTTCCCGCGCGGCCGCCGCGCGGCAAGGACGTCGGAAGAGTGCCGGATGGGCGATCAATGGCGGCCTATTGGAAGGGTCCGAGGGAGTTTAGATAATACGAATTTATGGAAGGTTATTAGAAGCACGCGACGGCCACCGCTCCGTCCTTCTCCGCTGGCTGTCTCTATATGGCAACCACAATGAATCTTTCGGATCCTCCGAACTAAAACGTATAAATATAGTTAAACGCGATATTAAACGATACCGGAACGATGGAACACAGTAGCATAATAAAATGAAGCCTAATACGCCACAGAGGGAAGTCAGTTTCTTCTTCTATGAAATTCTTTCTCAATTTTATCGCCATGATTTTTAGCGACACAAGAATATACCGTGAATAGAGTTCGACTTGCCGAGGAATATAAAATAACAAATAACACACATGAAACGGAAGAGTGCGAAATTAAAGCAGAATATCGATATGTTTCTCAGCTACGAAATTCTATGGTAATTTTTCTTTTTAATTTTCTCCTTGTAATAGGATTAATAGAGTAAATATGGACACTGTGTGGAAAATACTTGCTAACTTTGTCTCCTTTCAAGATTCTCGAGCTTTCGATTTTGTAACCCCGGAGAATACCGTGAAACGAATGTAACGTGGTAAAATCAAAATGAGAGAGAAAGATAAAATGTAATTACGTCAGGAAGTGAACTATTTTCTCGGGAAATTATATTTTCGGGAAGTAAAATACTGCTCCCGGCGCTTGTCGATCCTCTCAAACTTCATGACGTGGAATAATTCCGATTAATGCCTGGTATTAATTCCGGGGATCCTTCGAGTCGTCGTTCACCCTTACCTTCAATGATCACGGACGTTCTAACGGCGGTATCGAGCTCGAGCGCGAGATTGAGCTTTCCTCGGGCGACTTCATGCCCTTTTAAAGGCCGGCGCGACGCACTTATAATGGAACATAATTGTAATTGATATTTACGAGAATTCCGCCGGGGAAAAAACAATCCCCCGAGCGTCACGCGACGCGCAGGGATACACGCTGGGCTAATTGGCGTTCGCGAAAAAATATTTCAGCCCGGGCAATTACCGTCTAATTATAATAGGATGCCTGATTACTCGACTTTCTCGGAGACCCTCTCGTTGACCCGCGCGTAACATGCTCGACGATCAATCAAACGCCGACGATGTGCGAAGGACACGACTGCGGGATTATTAAGTGATTGCGTGCATACGCAGGAATAAAGACCGAATGTATCTTGACGTGGAAGAATTGACGAAAGAGAGAGAGAGAGAGAGAAGGGAGGGGCAAATACGATGTGCCAATTTGCCGGTTATACAACGCTACCTTTGACTGTATCTGATGTACAATAAGTGTGCACATAAGTAAGAAACGAGACACAGACACGTTGCGTGTTTCATCGGAAATCTTCACGAATACCTCCGCATCGTGATTTTATCGATGACGGACACTCTTCGGAATCAAAAGAGGATTACTTCGCGCGTCTCCTCTTTCTTCATTTTTATTCGCGGTCTATGAGTCTCGAATCAAATACGCTCGTTGAAGCTGCTTAGTTTCTTAGTCGCACGAGAGAACGTCTACTACAATATAATAGAATATACTATACATTCGGTCTTTTCTGAACCAGCCTCGACGCAGTCGGCGCTAATCCGGACGACAATCGTTAAGGAATAATAATCGCATTTTTTCACGGTTACCGTGTAACAATAATTGCCCGATAATTTTCGATGACTGTCCCCCACTCGCGAGAAGAGAGAGCTCCCGCAAGCACAATATTCTCGCGAGTGAAGCTCATTTTAGAAGAGGTTTATAATTCGCGGAAACGGAATTTGGAAGAGAATTCTGTTTTCTTTTTTTTTTATTATTTTATGTGCGACGTAAACATACGGAGAACATTTGAAGATTTTTTTTAGATGTATACCTATACATCTTACGCAAATGTCTATGAATGTTATTCTTCAATTCTTCAAATGTTTTCTTCAGACCACGTCTTGGACGATCTGCAAATCGCAACGCAAATTGTCCGGATTGTCCGAAGCGTGCTTGAAAATCGGTACATAATTATTCCGCGGCTCGCGAACACGTATTCGCGTTCGCGGCCGCGTACTGCAACCGATATACGTACCTCGATGTACTTCGTGTAGTCACGTAGGATACTCTAATGTTAGCGATATAAATAGAGATACAAATAGATTATATTTCTCTCTCTCTCTCTCTCTCCCTCTCTCTCAAAGAATCTTTATGCGGCCCGCGTTCTATGTCACACAGGCATCCTCGAATTACGCATAAGCAGATTGTACAATATCCGGAAACACGATCGACTCTTTGCAATTTAAATTTCATTCTCTCCCGATATCTGGAATTTCCATACGCTCGTATTTCCCCGCCATTTTGGTCCGTAATCTGTTTTTTTATGCTTTTGACGGTACTGTAGAGAAATTCAATAGCGCGTTCACAATCGCGCGCACGCGCGCGTGTATGGTTTTGTAATAAGTTTAAAAGTTATAACTATCAGAAAAGAGATATCACGAAGGCATAAAAGGAGGTACGGCGAAGGACTGATATATTTTTCATAAGGATGCCTGTTAATCAATTTACCATAATAGTCATTTGTTATCAGTGGCGTAACAAATATATATAAAATGCCCGAACGTAAATAATTAAACGAAAGCACTTTAACTACTAGAACACTAATTATAATTTAATTATAATTCATCAAAACGCGCAGGATTATCGTCTGTTTGATATACCATTCTTGCTAGCAATAGAATCTCCTTAAAAATCGCGAAGAAGGAAATTTATTCACTCGTAAAATTACGCGTCCTCACATGTATGGTATTAATACGTTATTACACAAATTAAGATTCTTTAGCTCCGGGGCACCTCTGTCTCTAAAATGGCGGGATATTCGCTACGCTACTGGTCATTGTTTCTATACGTACATCTGACTGTGAATAGAAGAGAACTTAATTGTACGTATAAATGTTGCGTGTTAAAAAAAAAAAATGTTATATCGAAAGGAGATTTAAACATGTAGTATAGCAAACGACGGCGACAGTTGGATATTTGTATATTTCAGACGCATCGTGCGATTATATACTCGTTACTAATACTTCAATGTTACTCGGTAACATCTCCGGCAATAAAGATGACTATACGGCCGTACGACATCGTCCCGTGAAAGTTTTGTCCCTTGCACAACTTCCGTCCCGCTTGCACACAATTTCCGAATCTACAACTCAAAGGAATCCGAAAACTAGAACTTCTCGAAAAATTAACTATCAGGTTTACGAGGAAACCAATACAACGGAAAGGATCTACTATGTAAATTATTCAATATACTTACCAAAGAACGTGAGAAATACAATTTCTGCCCCGGCTGAATGAAAAGTGGCATTCTCTTCTTTCTGAAGAAAGGGAGTATTTCTCAACACGTGGAAGGAGATAGAAATGATTTCAACAAGTACGATATTTACAGGCCATGATATTTTATTAATCTATACATCGGTAACAAAAATAACAACTTCTTCGATTATTATTACTAAGTAATGTTATTGTTATCTTTACACTTAAAGTTAGACGACCTGACTGAGACGCGACGCGTTGCACGCGCGATTTTGGCTGTTTCTAGTATCTCGAGGTAAAAACAAGGAGATCAGATCGGTACGTTCTCGTCTTACACGAACTGCGCTCCACGTTTACCAAGCGCTGCAAAGAAAAATCAGAGATAGGTCAAAGTGGTTGTCGGGGAGCAATTTCTCGTGGATAATAGATTATTTCGCGTATATTCGTCGCGAGATATTCGTGACAGCCTCTTTCCCTTACCCGTAGGAGGGCGACGGATCTGGCTGCGACCAGGCTGGCGCGTATTCTTTATGCGGCGGTCCGTAAATAGGTTTCGGGACGATCCTTTCGATGTAAACTGGCTTCTCGACGTATTCCACGTACTTCACCGGAGGCGAAAGATACACGTGATGTACTTCCGGTGCGCTGTAATAACCGGCTTTGTATCTGAAAGTACGAGGGAAAACAAATGAGAATATCCACCGAAGAATCGATGAAGAGCGTGTTCTTCTGATATCCACTTTCGCGGTTTTCTCAAAAAGAATCTTGCAGATCAATTTGAGATACGGTGACAATGGCACAGAGAGACAAGCGACGAAATTGTATCCAGCAAATATCAACTAACAGTCTCATTAAACATTTTTCATACACAATTATATATTATCAGACATGTAATTATATATAATTAGATATAATTAGACGTGTAATTATATGTAATTATATATTTTTATATATGGACATATTTTATATATAATTATTTATTATATTTTATAATTATATGTTGTACATAATTATATATATATGAAAAATTGTTTAACAGGGTAACATCAATGTTATCATTTCCCACTCAACAATGTTATATAACACATACGTTATATTGCATTTACATAGTTGAGTGGGAATTACATCATTGCTGTTATGTTACTGTTGATTGGGGTCTGCTGGGTATTTTCCGCGACACGATACACTTTCTCACCCTTTCGCGACGCCGAGACCGAAGCCGAGGAGGCCAGCGCCGAGCAGCTTCTTCTTCAAGAACAGCGTTCTCTTTTCCCTGGTGTGTACCGCGCCGCCATCGACTTGATCCTCAACAGCCACACTTCCAAAGTCAAGCGATTGTTGGTCCAGCACTGTATCTTCCGCCGCAGCTCTCAGTGTGAAAGAACAGCAAACGACGATAGCGATGATGACGACGGTGCGATGCATCTGTCCACGTACGGAACACGTGTCGCAGGTTAATCGTAAATTTACCATACATTAACGTCTCAGTAAACACCAACAATAACGTTACATCAATGTTATAATTTCTCACTCAAACATATAAATACAATTTAAACATACGTTGTATACAGAGTAATATAATATACGTTATATACAAAATGTCTTAGCATAAAGAAAATGTCTAAATTTCTCCTTTGTTTCAAATGATATGAAAAAATATGTTTGGAACATAATTTGACTGGTTTCAAAGGAGGAATATCGTGGAAGACAAACTTTTTACGGTCATTTTTTCAATTGTTCTTCAAGTCTCCATATTTAGGTCTTCAAGATATTTAGGTTACACTCTGTATGTAACAGTTACATTATTAATATTATTATATTAATATTATAATTATATAAGTGAGAAATTATAGAACTGTTGTTTTATTGCTGTTAATGTTTACTAGGATGTTTAAAAAGAGTCTAGCACGAATGACATGGTAAATTGCAAAAGCTAATTGAAATTTCCACGTGTCCTCCCCGGGACCTCGTCCGAGGTCTTTCGACTTGAGCAAGACTTCGATCGGACGTGTCGACTTTTACCTTGCGTCTCAGTACGGTGAGGTCAGGTAGAAAATAATTGGTGATGATACACCGCGAGGACAGGCCTGAATACTGTGACTTTGATCGAGGATTCGTTCGATTTTATACCGACCTGCCTACCTCTCCGCTATTTGCGGCCAACACGGGCGCGATTCCGGAGCCGCCCCCTACCACGGAGCCGGGAATAGGCCTAACATCGGGTTTAGGTCGATTAAACCCATTGTGACACCCACCGATGCGTTGTTGCATACGTCATGACAACGGGCAGACTTGGCCGGGATTTCAATTTGACCTCTCATCCGAGTCACGACAGGTCGCTGTATGAAAAATTCCGCGTGGCTTCCATTCTTCTTCGCCGGGCGATTTCCTCGAATATAGAAACGCCTGTTTAACTTCGNAATGATTACGTGTATGTATCAGATCGCACGTAACGAGCTCGGTGCGATTGCGTGCGGCAGAAGCACGTGTATCGCTGAAAGGCGGGACATGTGGACCCGCCGAAGAAAGAATAGAAAATTCGTTGCGCAGTATTTCACTTTCTCCTCTCTTCGTGCCTCTCTTTCTCTCTCTCTTTCTTTTCTTTCTTCTTTTCTCCGCCGCTCTAATTGTTGCAGCCGATGATTGTGTGCATTATCTGCTCGTCACGTCGCCGGAGCTGATAAATCGAAACGATGCCCGTCGTGTTCCTGTTGCCTTTTCTTTTTCTCCCTCACTTTCTCAAATTCGCCGTCGATTCGCCAAATCCTGCCGTTTCAAGTTTTAACTATCTTCAAGTTTTAACAGCGATCGCTGATAAGCGGATCGCTCGTCCCAGTCTCGATTCGGTCAAAGGAGATCCTGGGAAAAAATGAGCGCAAACTTTAGCGATTAATTGCAAAAAACAGTACCAGATCCATGACATAATGATAAAATTTCGCGTGACAATTTACCCGGAAAATCAAGCACGTTCTGAAAGACACAATAGATTCTCCTCCTCGTCGATGTAACGCCGGAATTGAAGAAAGTAAACCTCGATGTTTCGGAGTTAATTGTGTCACGTCAACGCGACGCCTTCTCGGTAATCATCGCTTCTACGGCAATGCTGAGTTTCTTCCGTTATTTATCATTATGTCATGGATCTGGTACTGTTTTTTGCAATTAATCGCTAAAGTTTGCGCTCATTTTTTCCCAGGATCTCCTTTGACCGAATCGAGACTGGGACGAGCGATCCGCTTATCAGCGATCGCTGTTAAAACTTGAAGATAGTTAAAACTTGAAACGGCAGGATTTGGCGAATCGACGGCGAATTTGAGAAAGTGAGGGAGAAAAAGAAAAGGCAACAGGAACACGACGGGCATCGTTTCGATTTATCAGCTCCGGCGACGTGACGAGCAGATAATGCACACAATCATCGGCTGCAACAATTAGAGCGGCGGAGAAAAGAAGAAAGAAAAGAAAGAGAGAGAGAAAGAGAGGCACGAAGAGAGGAGAAAGTGAAATACTGCGCAACGAATTTTCTATTCTTTCTTCGGCGGGTCCACATGTCCCGCCTTTCAGCGATACACGTGCTTCTGCCGCACGCAATCGCACCGAGCTCGTTACGTGCGATCTGATACATACACGTAATCATTGGTCGCACGCACGCTCGTTTGCGCGCACATACGCATAAGCGGTGTGCGACTGACGACGGCCGAATGACAATGGGACCTTGTCACGTCCGCGCGCATCGCCGTGTCATTATCTAACGATGCACAAGCGACGACCTGATCGATAATCGTCAACGTGTGACTAACATTAGTAGCGTTCATTTACGCATTAGGGGGACAAGGGGGATGCTTATTTTATGATTCAATGTGATAAAAAGTATTTTGTCGTAATCACACGCAAAGGTGTCAGTTTCTTTTGGAGATTCCCCCGTCTTCTTCTGCACAATAAACAATTTTATGTAACATTTAATACATTTCATAGGTTCCAAATGATGCACTCAAATGTTTGTGTTAATTTCACACACAGGTGAACGTGTTAAAATGTAATACAAATATTGTGTCAAAAATTAACACAAAATTGAAATACGTTAATCAACGCTGAAGTATAAAATGTGTTATTTTAACACTTACACACATGTTAAATATCGACACAACACAAATTGTTGAAATAACATAGACACAATATATTAAATAAACACACAGGTATGTTGAAAATTCAACGTAAAATTTTAACAAGGACCGATTTTAACACAAGTACAAAATGCTTTTTACTGTGTAAATTTACGGACTTTGACAGGACGAATTTGCAACTTATCTCTCGGTTATTACGATAAGCTGAGATGGTCGTAGCGTTGTGAAATATTCCGATAAATAATATTGTACATCATACAAAATAACTAATTAAACTAAATAACTAATTAGGTCAGTAAATTATGTCGCGTCCCTAACACAAGTCATATGATATCCAATTCTGGGTCGGGAGAAGAAGTACGTATTAAATATATATTAGATTTTTTAAGAAATGCAGATTTTTTAATTTTATTAAATATAATTGCAATAAGTAGATAAATGATATTCTACAATTTTTCTCTTAAATATTTACAATGTTAACCTTGGAATACAATAACTGTAAATGAATTAAAGAATATAAAAAATATTTTTCCGTGTTTTCATTACAATATGAACTTTTTTAATACATTAATAAATTAAACTTGACCCGAAATTAGGACTCGACCCATAAATGGGATCGTTATTTTAATTAAAAGATGACAGATATGGATTTGTTTGTTAGAATATATCGAATAATCACAGTCTCATTGTTTCTAACTCTTTATTCGATTTTTCTCCATCCTAGAACAAAACATAAATTCTTTATTTCTTTAAGTACATATTCTCCTTCGCTGCACAAAAAAAAGCTTGGATCTCACGAGCCTCGCGAGCCTAAGCCTAAATCCACGACGGACGAAGTGGGAGCCGACACGCGACGACAATTCGGTAATCGGCGTAGAAAGTGTCTGAGTAAGAGCGCGACGGAGCTTTCGCAAGCAAACGTGAACAGGCGCGAAATTTCACCGAGACGCGCACGAAGACCGGTCGCGCGGCATCATTTATTTTCAATATTTTGCGACCCCGCCGGCTGGCTGAGGGTAGCGACGTGGTTAGTTCGCGGTTCGAGACGGTAAGACGTGCTTTCACGTCTCGCAAGTGCAACGCCGGAAACTGACAGGCCATTTGTGCCAGGATATTAGCATGGAAATGGAAATTCGGTCCGCATCTAATGAAAGTCACATCTGCACCGAAACGCGTATAGACAGTTCGCCTCGGAATAGAATTCAGCCCTATCAACATTTTTTTTTAAATTGCGATTCGATAAATGAACACGTTGTTCCGTGTGAGTATCGTTTAGTCTGTGTCAGGTATGACTCTGATTCATTCTCAGTACTAGTGTGAGAGATTGTTCATGCGAAAATTGGGAAATATTCGATCGTAGATAATGAAAATGAAATATCAATAAGGGATCTCGAGCGATCCACGGCTGCGAGCAAAAGATATCACTCCAATTGATTGATCTCGAGCTTTATTTCAAGGTTACTTCGAAACCTGAAGGCATTCGAGACGCCACGTATTAAATTATATTAAATATCAGAGAAAAAATATGCATGAATTTTCGCGCAGCCTATAGAAACATGGCATCTATGCTCGGGCGTCGCCTCCCTTCGCAATTTCCCTTTCCGTTCACTCGGGCGGAGCGTCGTAAAATAAATGTCCGAATCAATCGCGCGCCAGAATGTGAAACGCGCACGGTCGAAATTGCGCGCCGCCGACAAATCGACCGTGTACCGAGTTCGATATCCACGCGGCATTGTATTCTCTCCCGACGCTCTCTCCCGGGAGGAAAGCGACGTTTCACGCGACATCCGCAAACCTGTGAGGTTCACCACAAAAGAAAAAAGGCGCTCGCGTGTCGAGACTACAAAGCAACGCTATAAATAATTCATCGAACATCGACATTAGCGGGTGCCTTTTATGAGAGTTATGTGCAACTCGGAGGATTTTGTGGGAAATCGCGAAAATAAACCGGCGTTCCGCCGGATACGGTTACGCAAATGCGGGTCGTTTCAAATCCAGTCTTACACGGTACAATGTACGATAGACGCGTCTTAACTGCGTCTTGAGTGACTTCAGGAGTCGTCGACAAAGTCTTGAGGCGTCTAGACGAGCCGTCGAGACTACGTGCTTCAACACGCGTATTTCGGCAATGACGGTATTCGCAGAGTGAAATCAATCGACACGACATTCGCGAGCGCGGGTTTCACGTCCTGAATAACATATCGAGCGACACCGATGTCGGTTAATTTTTTAAGAGCTACCTTCGTTATCAAAAAATCAGGTCGTATCGCACTGAAATTAAACGTACTTCTTGCTACGAAAATTGAACGCTCGTGGTTGAAACAGAGAACCTTTTCCGGAGAACTCGATTTGTACAAAATGCTTTTGGTAAACTATGAAAGACAAAAAAGAACCTTACTGAAGTAGCCCCTCGCGCTTTTATAGAATAATTTATTATTGATATATATCAAATACGTGTATCATATTGAACGGTTTTTTAAGGTTTCTTGCAAATAAATCAATATCTGTTGTTTTGTACTGAGCGTGTTAAAATTACGGATACACGAAGTCCCCGAAGATAGACGTTCAAAGAGAAATCATGTACAATGATGCGGCAAGTTTGCAAGATAGTTATATCAGTTATTTTTGTAATCTATTGGTATAAAATATCTCATAATAAAGACACGTTAGGCTTCTCTAGGAAGAAACTAGAGGCAAGAGTTTTCGGACACACAACGTACCATACAGCCGCGATTATTTTCTGCGCGTAAGGATTTCCTCGGCTTTCGGTTGGCTCAACAAATTCGTCAGTTCGACCACTCGATTGCGAAGAATCGATTCAATTTGGCACAATTTGAGGGAGATATTTTTTCCAACGTGAGACTACATTTCCTCGTTTTCGGCAGGTCGGGCTAAATTGAAGTCGAGAATCTCGTCGGACGTGAGGAAACGCACGTCGCTGTCCTCCGAGAGCGCCGAGCTGCTTCCTCTCTTGTAAGTCTTCCTCCTCCTGATGATGACAATCGTAACGATTACGAGCGTCAAGGAGAACACGATTACAGTCGCGCTCACAATGCCGACGAGCAGCGGATCGAATCTACGGTCGTGTCTCACTTTTTCCGGATTCTGTTCTTCGCTGTGCGGTTCTGCAAATATTTCTCAAGTTAATGCGTTTCCAATATCATTGGCCGTATTATTCCGTGGAATAATATATAATATCATACACGGGTGTGAGTTATCATGTAATGCATGTTTTCGTACATCATACTTCTAACGTTTCATATTCAAACCTACACGGTAAAAAATGTTGTGTTAAAAACGATCCACTGAAATTTTCTGTTACTTTAACATGGGGAATGTGTTGAAGAGTACACAAATATGTGTTACCAAATGTACAAATATAATGTTAAATTAACACACTCACCTTGTCAACATATGTTGTTGTTATATTTGCGTACTTTTTAACACATTCTCTATTTTAAAGTAACACAAAATTTCAATGAACCGTTTTTAAGACAAAATTTTTTACTGTGTAGATCCTCGTACCAGTCATTGGTTAAATTTAGCGTAATAATGAGAATTATCGAGCTGAGAGTTTCAATTCCAACATTTGACAATATCGAGACACAGCGTCTGTAACACCGAGGAATGAGTTTTCGTATAAAGTGCTCATTCGTACAAAATTATTTTCCAATTGGCATGTTTTGGAAAATAAACGACTTTTCGTTCAACGCGTTCCTCTCTTAAATTCTTTCCTCGTAATTGGATTAATCAAATACGTAACAGGCAATGAATATTACCAAAGCGAACGTGCAATTTCACACGTTCCGTCGTCATGATATTCGGTGCGAAAGGAGTTTCCCTCGTTTCCGTCTGATTTCGTCTAGTGGACGGTGTCGTCATCCGTTTCGGCAATTTTGTAGTTGTACGCATGATCGGTATTGTGGTCACGATGGGTTTTCGCGTGGTCATCGAAGATGAATTCGACATATTTAGGTCGATGTAATCCTTCGGATTGTTATAAATTGGGACCTGCCCAGGTTTGTGGAATGGAGTGTTCGTACTGCTTGTATTGTACAGCCTCCGAGTTGTCACTTGTCGAATCGTGGAAGTCGTCATTTTGATTTCGAAGGGTGTCGTCATAACCAATTCGGTAGTGGTGAACACTGTGTAATTGCAATTAGAAATAATTTAAAGAATCTCGCACGCACGAGGCCGGATGCTAGGATACATCGTAAAATGTAAGATGCGTAAATCTTAGATAAAAATTGAGCATCATTTTGCATCGAACTAACAGAATTTTCGATTCGACGTTCCTTAACATTCGAATGTCATGTCGAGTAATCGCTTGCTTAAAGTGATAATTATCTTATATTGTCAGCGCTGACGAACATTAACGAACATTAACGAGACATTCCGAGACTAAAAACATTAAGTAGACGCGATAGAAAATTTTCAAATTTTCTTTCGGATTAACACGATCGCATCAGACCCGATTGGATTACATTAGCGAGCTTAGCTCGACGGAGCTCATTAAGCATAACATAAATTAAACAGTTACCTGCAGTGCAGTATTCCTCGTAATCCGGGCAACAAATCGAACGTTCCGCACAATCGAACGTACAATGACAACTCTCCGGCCCGAATTTGGGAGTGGTAGTAGTCTCCGTCATGGAATAAACACATCTACCTCGACAGGTTTGTTGTGCGTTGACCACCTCGACTTGATCTGTGAGAGACACGATTTTTTTTTCCAGTGCATCGAGAAACCCAGTTAGTTGAATCAACTAAATTCTTGTTTGACTATGGGCAAACAAATTTTTCGATTGTAATAACCAAAGTTTGGTTGTCAAACCGAAGGTTTGGTTTTCTGAAGTTTCAGAGGCTTCAAAGAACCGAACCTTTGAATCAGAGAACTAAACCTTGGTTCTTATTACCAAAAAATTTGTTTGCCCATAGTCAAACAAGAATTTAGTTAATTCAACTAAATGGATTTCTTAGTGTGGAAAGTATAGAACATTTCGATCTTATCCTTCTAACTTTATTACGGGGGACAGCTGATCTCTTCGAAATCCCTCTGAACTGAGAGCACTCCCTTATACATATTAAATAGATGATAAATTTATCACAAAAATTTGTATGCACCAGCTTTTCTTTCTATTTTTTTCTTTTTTCTACTAACTTCGTACAATCTTGTTAAATGTATCTTGTGGCGCTTATTATTATCTTATCACAAGATACATTTTCAGTTCTTTACAAAATCGACTTGAAAAGTAAACTTACCGTCGTTGCTCACAGTTGTGTTAGTGGAATTGTTTTTAACGATACACTCGTTTCCTTGTAAAATAGCTACGTCGTCTATCGCGATGTCGCTCACATAGGTGATACCACGCCTACCCTCTATAATAATCTGAAAATTTTTTTGAACGAGCGATAAAATTAATTTTATTATTTTAAAAGGCATGTAGCCAAACACTGTGACGAACGCTTGCCTGAAAGCTAGAGTTGGCTTTCGGCAGATCGAAGATACCTCGGTACCAATTATTCCCCTGATTTCCCTCCTTACTGAACATCAAGAGCCACGTGGTATTTCCCGCTAGCTTGAAATATATATTTAACCTACCGATCGTCGCGCCATACATGTGATACCTGTCAACAAACGCGCGCGTATCAAAAGTGTTTATAAAAAAAGTCTATCGAAAGAAGAAACGCGCGAAAAGTTCTGAATAATTAAATTATATAAATTATTCGTTCTGACACGCCAACATACGGTGCAAATAAAATATCTGAAAACACCTCTGAATTCCTTCCTTCGCTTTGGCAAATTCATTTACGAACCTGTCTATGATACATTTATTTAAAATATTTTAACGTTTGACTTACACCTCCGAAATAAACAACAACGTATGAAATGTGAGCAAACAGAATAAAACTACACAAAATCTACGCACTACGAATCGAAGGAACGTTCTAATTTATGTTTAATCGTGTTCTCACCAGAACGAAAAACATCCCGACTCGGTCAGGGAAGAATTATATACCGGAGATATGATTCTTGCCGTATCGTTCACCAGTTGTCCGGATGCCTCGGTGTAAAGATAGTGGCCTGAAATCAGCTCGAGCGTGTGTACATTCACACATATTGTACAAATACATTTTACAAGTAATTTTTGCTCCTCTTGGCGTCTTTCAAATGTCTCAATGTGCAGCGAAACAGCTGCAGAGTCACACTGAGGGAATACGTACCGTCGTTTCCGACTCCCAGAGTATGATCATGCGACGGACCGGTACCGATGTGGAAACTCGGCGTCCCGAAATTGTGACGTTTCCAGTCGAAATCGTGATGCGGGTCCTGTTCCCACAAGCAGAGATCCGGGCTCTCGAAGTCACACTTCGTTGGCACAGGTACGTCCGAGTCTTTCCGTGAAATACATCAACGCACACGAAATTCGTAAATGGCGTCATCATCGAATCGACGTTATCACCGAAGGAAAAATACAGTTCAAGTATAATGAAATTAAAGAAGAAGAGAAGAAGGAAGGGAAAGGAAACGATGGCGTCACCGGACTAAAATATTCGCTACCGCGCTGAGATTGAAAGTCGCTCACTACACGCTGTATTTTCAATATCTTAATATGCGCACATAAAATGCATTAACCCTTTGGCCTATAACCACGAGTCTGACTCGTGGTGAAAAATTTGTGCCATAAGCGAAAACCACGAGTCTGACTCGTGGTAAAGAATTTGTGCCATAAACAAAAGCCACGAGTCAGACTCGTGGTGAGGAATTGGCGCATAAGATGCCGCGTATTATTCGAACAAGCGAATAGAGTTACTCCACATCCAATACTTTTGTACCTAAACAATTTTTATTATTTCACAATTCCTTTCGTTGCACTGAAATATATATGTCATGAAAGGTATACATTTTGCGCCAATTCGGGTACACGGCTGAACAGTTGAATGGCACGGCGCGCGACCGATTTTCTTGTTTACTATAGCTCGCGCAATTGGCAGATATCGTGTAGGCCAAGGGGTTAAATAGGCAAATTGAGCATTTAACATAATGTGTCACACACGTGCGGCGATACCGGTCTGTGCTGAGAAATCGATGCGTCACGCATGCATGGAAAACAGGAATTAGCTGTCTATGTATTACAATTGAAATTTAGTTACCCGACCTAGTTTTTAGCCGAGAGAGCTAAAAACTGGTGCAGGGACAAAAAGGAATTAGCTAAATTAACTCAATTTCAGCTGTATTACATGCACGGAAAGAATAGACTTAAATCAATGACAGATATTCTTATATATAAACAAGAATATTCTTAGGAGGTTTTTAGTCTTGTATTGAGTGCAAGTAATACTTGCATCAGTGCAAATTCAATCAATTCAAGACTAAAAATCTTCTAAGAAGATTATAATATTCTTGCTTACATATGAGAATATCTATTCTTAATTTCAAATTAATTTTTTTTCCTGCGTGAGCAATTAATTTTTACCTGTGGGAGCTAATTTTTAATGTGGGAGCTACTTCTTTTTTTTCCGTATGTGTGGCGCTGGTAGAGAATATGTTAATGTTAATATTATAATAAGCTGGGCAACGCAATGATGTGTTAAATTTTTCACAAGCGGAAATCTTCCACTACGCACTCACGCTGTCGGGACTGACGCGTGGAAAATAATTAAAAATTAATTAATTAATTTAATTTAATTAAATCAAGATAAAAATACCGTACGCAAGTACCTCGACAAGAAGGAGTCGTCTCGTTCCAATTACGTCCGTTGCAGTATATCTCGGACGAGCCGACCAGCCTGTAACCAGGCTCGCAAAAGAACATCAATATCCCGCCGTCCAATTTTGAGACCACAAACGTGTGAGCCGGTGATGGCGGTGGAGCGCATCTTGTGCCTAAACATCCAAACACATAAGAAACAAATTGGTTCTACTTGATTGTGCTTGCTTTGTAATTTGGGCAATTTTTCGTATGGGAATGGTTCATAATAGGTTGATAGATTGGGGAGAAGCATCGAGAGATGCCTAGGACAGAGATTCATCACTGGAAAAAATTTATCAAATCTAAAAAGTGGAACAATTCTGTAGAAAATTATAATATCGAAATTCGAATACCGAAGCAATCTTCCGAAATGTAATTTCGGGAGACATCGGTAGACATTCATCATACTGGAAAAATGTACCGAATTTAAAAAGTGGGACATTTCTTTGGAAATTTATAATATCGAAATTCGAATACCGAAGCAATTTCCCGAAATGTAATTCTATCAAAATATTGGGATTACCTTGTTGTACAGCCGTACGGAAAAAACTGGATTCGTATAACTGATTTTCTGTTATCTGGAGACCAATCGAGAACCCGATTATAGGGACAGAAAAATTCCTGCGAAAGATTCGTATTCAATTGTGTCAAATTGTCTTAATCGAGTTTGAACGCAATCGAATATTCAGGCGAATGTTTTCAGTCGCGATAACACAAAGGTACCGTTTCTTGTCACTGAGTTTTCATCTCGTCTCTATTTTATTACACGAAACTGAGATTTTTTCCCTGTATTGATTTGAACACAGCAAGAATGTACGAAAACAAATAAATATTGATATTTAGTAATAGTCCTTTTTTGAAACAATCGTGTACTTCGAGATAATTTCAAGATACTATCTTGATATTTGAATATCGATACTATGATTTTTCGGAGAAATTGTTCCGAAAGTTTTCGAACTTCGAGATTTTGATTTTTTCAGGACAATGTCACTCATAACCGCTATTTTCTCGTTATCACGCTGATATTGTTGCAAACACTCACATACACGCGCGCGCACGTATTCGGTTCGAATGTTCCCTCGTAGATAGAATTCTGTCCAACAGGTATTTCGAACGAATCATCTAAAGCGGGCTTTGTAGTATCGCGTCGCGTTATGTGCAGAATCCATTGACAGCCTCGCTGATCACTTTCACCCATTAAATTCCGCTCTAAGCTCTACTTACTCACACACACGGGAACAGGTGTGTCCCAGGCGCCATGCACACACGAGGCGTATCTGTTGCCCACGAGGATGTATCCCTCGAAACAGTCGTACCTCATAATCCGACCTCTCGCCCTAACGCGCGTATTCCCGTTTTGCAACCGTACGACAGGGCACACGTCTGGAAAGGAAACTGATGTTACCCTCCGCTGTTAACGATATGTGTCAATTTACATATGGAGAAAAAGAAAGTTTTGCTGAAACAGCAAACGTTTGTTTGTTAATATAGTGATAATAAAAAGATTTGTTACACGGAAAAAAATAATTTTGCTATTGTAGCAAAACGTCGTTGCAACAGCGACGAAAATTTAGTTGTAAACAAATTATTTTGCTGTCACATATCTAGCAAATAGCTATTAATATTTCTAACAAATCTTTCTACTATCTAAACAATCCTTTTTGTTATCCAAACAAATTGCTTTGCTCTTACTAGACTGACAAACAATTAGTTGTTTCAGCAAAATTTGTTTTCTCCGTGCCGAGTTTTTCATCATTATCGTTCTCGGTCTCGGTTCTTGGTCTTCGTTCGTTATCGGAGCAATCGCGATAATTAGATAAATACGAGATTCCGACATCTCCTACATGGAAAAAGAGATTACCTTCAATAGCTAAATTAGCTGTAACACATAGACACCTAAAAGTTTTGCAATATAAGCAATTTTAACTGCTGCAGTAGCAAATTCTTGACGACATTTACAATAGTACGTTTGCTGTAGAAAAGAATTTGCTAGTGCAACAATTAAAATTGCTTACGTTGCCAAAGTTTTAGGTGTCTATATGTTACATATAATTTGATTATTAGCTAATCTAATCTTTTTTCCGCACAATGGGAGGATCAATGGTAATATCGATGACACTAGCAACATGCAACAAAATTTATCAATTTTGTTACAGGTCGCTTTCTTATTAAGGACTTTCAAAACTTCGTCGGATTTCCGGCTGTATTTCTTTTATTAATAATAACGAGACAGCATATCCCGTCATTCAATGAAAGTGTCTTATTAAAGTGATTAGTTACTATATACAAAGTAACTATGATTATCATGTCGTATAACTATAAGTATCATGACGTATAACTGTGTCACGTTTCACGTAATTAATCTGATTCTTCGTATGTGAAATGACTCATCAATGCCATATCAATGAAATCACCGATAAACTTTCGCCCTTAATAAAAATCATTGTAGGGGATGGTAATTATTAATTTTTGTCGCAAATATAAGTGCCCTACTCCCAATGAGAACATCCACGTGCAATCGACATGGGATCCGCGTAAGGAAGTCGATTTCGCATCGATTCAACGTCGATTCTACAGATGTTATCGTGAGGGTCACACGCATGAGCAACATTTATCGTGCATCACGATCGCTCCTTATACCGTTCGATCTTATCTCATCGGAAATCGTGTGTGTCATTCTCTGTGTGCGTTATTCTTATTATTCTTGTTTATAATTACTCTGCTTCGGCCAAGAAACGATGATATACTGGCCGAGGAAGGCGGACAACAGCAAGATCAAGAAGGAACACTTCATTCCGATGTGGATGTAGAACGAATCTCACTGGAAACTTGCACGCAATGAAGGGTCGTTTAGAGCAACCGTTAGACTTTCCTCGAGAGAGACAATTAACGCAATGGCACGTCTTAAAATCGAGATAATTTTTACGCGTTTACGCATGTATTTTCCAATATTTTCACTGAGACTTAATTGCAATCGATCAGGCGGACAATGGTAGATCCAAGGATAAACGAATAGGAAGTACGACGAGTGCGCGCGTGTGCCGCGTAAAAAAAAAATCGAAGCCGAAGAAAAATTGTGGATCTACACCATTGAGCGCGGTGAGGACATGACTGGAGAAGCTGTGATTCCAGATGCTCGGAACTTTCGATTTCTCGCAATGAGGGCGGCAACGCGGCTTCCGTTGGTGCGGGAATGATAGCTCTATCGTTTTTCCGGTGCTTTATCTTCGTCGACTGATGTGCGCCAGGCCTTGAGAAATATTCCTGGAGCATGCACTTCGCAAGAGATATATCTGGCGCCAAGCAAGGTGACCGTACGACTCCAACGGCCGGGTTCGGCCGAACAAGACGCTTGGTGAACTATTGGCGACTCAAAGATCGAATTAATATATAGTAATATAAGTAACCGATGTATACCTTTATATCTATGCGAAATTTGTACATGCACGATTAAATCCGTCAACAGTCTCGCTACCAGATTTTATTTGAAGGACGCTCCCAATGGACCACGCTTCTAACGCGTCATTTTATCTTTGTCCCTCAGTAAATATACAAGGATAGAATGATTCGTTAGCGCTAATCAACGCTACTCCCTGAATGCACCCATATCAAATCAGAGATAGCAAACATTTCTGAGACGTCTCTAGGATATCTTTTGAACATTTATGTCGTATGGGATATACATAGTGCAAAATTCAAGAGTATGAAGAAATATAAATCATACACTATATATGTAATGAAACATTCTGCAACAAATAATCTTTGTCCTTTAAATATATAAATTTAATATATATTATATATATTAAACATATAAATTTAAGACGGTATTTTTCACAATTCCCTAACGAAAGCTTTATTTTTTATAGAAATATATAGGACAGTTTGAATATATTTTTCAATTATAAATCGAATATGTATCGAAGAAGAATCGTTCTCCAATTGACACGAAGATCTAACTTGAATAAATGGTCTTGCAAATTTCTAGATTTTCTTCTAAAGATATCGACGCATTTATTTCCGCAAAATTATATAAAAACTTTACTTACTCGACTACTAGTTTTTGTTCATAAAAATTTTATTATATAAAATTTAAAAAACTTTTGTTTGTAAAACATAATATTTTAATATCGAAGACACAAAATATATAAAGAAAGAAATACTCTACTATTTAAATAGCGTTAGTTAATAGATAAGTAAATTAAAATCTCACAAATTTTCTCATAAAATACAATTTTATAATTCTAAGTAAAATTGTCTCAAAAACATTCAAAAATTTCCCGCCCTTTGATCAAACCAAAAGTTATACTTTCCTAACGAGTTGAACAACTAAAGCCTCTTTAGCTCAGTGGTAGAGCACTGGTCTCGTAAACCAGGGGTCGTGAGTTCAAACCTCACAGGAGGCAATTTTTTTTTCTTATACACCTCTATCACAGATATTCTTTTTTATATTCTTTTATTATATTCTACATCTTTTTTAATACTTTTTTAACATTGTGGATATAATGATTAATTATATTTTATTTCAAGAACTTAAATTTAATGTTCACGTTTGGTAAGGTAAATTGGAAAATTTTAATGTAAAACTTTAAATTTAAAAGTTTCAACTGGAAAATAAGTTTGGGAATCCTCAAAAAATTAAAATATAATTTGAAAGTTTAACATGAAAATAGACTTGTTTTCTTTAATTGCATTACGTAACACTTTCTCTCTCTCTTTATATGAATATAAAATGAAATAAATATATATATATATATATATATATATATACATATTTGTGCTTAGAGAGATATCAGGACCTTGAAAGGAGGAACAGGAAGTGCAGCTAAAAGAGTACAGTCTTCTGTCCAACCATATTGGCGCCGGTGATATAACGGCCGGACCATTATTCCGCCAAACGTGACCGGTCCTAAGGTGTGCGCATCAGTATATATTAGCCGGCATCTTGTGAGGCGTATCGTTTTCACAATTCGAAGTGTTAAACGATAGACGAGATGGGTGACGATTTACCGTACCGAGTGGAATACGCGAAAAGCGATCGCTCTCGTTGTCAATTGTGCAAACTTACCATCACCAAGACCAGCCTGAGACTCGCTGCTATTGTTCAGGTAACGATTTCACATATACAAAGAAAAATAGCTCGAATTCTCGCACGTACATAGATACATCCCGGTGATGTCTCTTCTCCATGATATTGTTCAGTTAACCGGATTATTTTATCAGTTTTGTGGTTGTATGTTGCACATGTAGAAAAACAATATATATAAATTGAATTCTATTGTCTTCTTCAGTAATAATAATACGCATATAAGATGTTATCACCTCTAATTCGGACCTTTGCATGATTATATTAGTGACATGCATAGAATTGATAAACTATTGATTTACATATTAGGTCTATTCTTCTTTGCTGAACTAATATATACTTATAGAACTTGAAAAGAGACAGATATATTTGTTAAGACTTGTATAAGCTAGTACAATCAGTTCAGTGAAAAAGAACACGTATTTTATTTGCCTGCTTACTGTAACATAACAAATACAGGTTATAGTAAAGTTGGCAATTTATTTTATACTTATATTTTTCGATAAGTGACATTTTATTTATACTAATATGAAATTAATATTTTAATTTTGTATTATCCGAGATATTTCTTTTAAGCAATGAACCGAATACATATGATTAACCATGCTTTGTTAGGTAGAAAACTTTGCTACTTACTAAGAAGAAATTTCACATTGTTATAGAAATATTTTGCTGATATTTTTAGAGCCCAGTTCATGATGGCAAGATACCTAGATGGTATCACTTTAAGTGTTTCTTTCAAAAACAAAGACCAAAGTCTACGGCTGATATAGATTGTTTTGATCAAATTCGCAATGAAGATCAAACAAAAATCAAAGAGAAACTTGGTTAGTACATATTTTAACCAAAATACATGACTTAATGACTCACTCTTTATCGTCTCTTTTTTTTTCTTCACCTATAGAGGAAGCTCTTAAAGCACCTCCTGCTTCTGGAAAAGGAAAGAAAAGAGCAAATCCTGCCAAAAGTGGCGGGGGTGAGTTCAGAGTAGAATATGCGAAATCTGGTAGGGCTTCTTGCAAAGGATGTGAAGAAAAGATAGTCAAAGATGAAGTAAGAATATCAAAGAAAGATTTTGAGAGTGCAGAAGCTAGAAAATTCGGCGGCTTGGACAGATGGTTTCATGTGGAATGTTTTGCAAACTTAAGGGCAAATATAGGGTATTATGGAAAAGGAGATGAGCTTCCAGGTATAAAAGATCTCTCCAAGGAAGATCAAAAAAGTCTCAAAGCTGCATTATCTAAAATGAATCCAGGTAAGAAAGAAGACTGAATCAGAATTCACCTAGTGAAGTTTTGTTCACAACAAAGATCTCTGGATTAGGGTTGAGACAATATGTTATTTATACTCTGCTATCCCCATTCGGTTTTAAATGTGTCTTATTTTGATAAGTTGGATCGATAGAATTTTTATAATATTCCTAATTATAATTCCAGATGATATCCCACCTCCTGTCAAAAAAATGAAAAATGAACCCGAAGATGCTGAAGAAGAGAAATTGATAAAAAAGCAAAATACCGAGTTGTATGCTATACAAGATCAAATATCGAGTCTTAGCAAAAAAGAATTGATTGCAATACTGGAAAAGAATCATCAACAAGTTCCATCTGGTACAACGAGCGTAAGTATCTTATTAACACACACTCGTTATCGTGATGTGTCAATATTATCGTCGAATTATATATTACAATATACTATTATTAAATAGTACTAATTATATAACATTATATACTACATTGTACTATAATTATTTACATGTATATGTATCTATTTTAATATATAATGTTAATCTTAACAATAGATCTTGAATCTTTTGTGTGACATATTGTACTTTGGAGCTCTGGAGCCTTGTCCAAAATGTAAAGGACAATTCATATATAATTCCGGTTTGGGTTACAAATGCACCGGCAATATAACAGAATGGACGAAATGCGAGTATGTTACACAAGAACCAAAAAGGAAGAAGTGTGAAATACCAATTGACATGAAGGAAGATTTCCCAATTAAGTAAGCGTTTTCCGGGGACGTATTTATGAAAATCATAACTTACTCTGTTATTCGGCGGAAAAATCGTGCAATATAAAGATCCATTTTTCACCTTCTCAATTTGTGCGTGTACTTTCAGAGCGTACAAGTCTAAGATAAAAAAGCGGCTGTTTAAAGTTACGGCACCATCCTCTTCGGGTTCTGTGAAAAAAGAAGAGGACAGCGTGGATGGACCGAAAGTGCAAGGAAAGCCGCGCCCTTTGAAGAACATGCAGTTCGTTATAGTGGGTCGCACAGAAAAGGATAAAGAGGAGCTGAAGAGGGAGATTTTACTCTTGGGCGGCACTGTCGGGACGAAGATTCACAATGAACTGGCTGCTGTGATTTCGATTCCGAAGGAAGTGGAGAAAATGAACAAGAGGATGCAAGAGGTCAAGTCGTTTGACATACAAGTGATAACGGAAGATTTCGTGGAAGAAGCGAAAGAATACACCGAAGCGCCCATCATGCTCTTGAAGAAGAAAACTATTTCAAGCTGGGGTAGCGATATAAATGCCAGGATCGCGAACGTCGTCGCAAAGTCCAACGCTTCCAAAAACAAGAGCAAGTTCGAAAAGTCCGGCAAGGTGAAGTTGCGAGTAAAAGGCAGCGGCGGCGCTGTTGACCCTGACAGCGGCATGGATGATTGCGCGCATGTCTATCAGAAAGGCAAAGACAAGTACGACATAACATTGGGGCTGACGGACATACAGTCGAAGAAGAACAGTTTCTACAAAATGCAAATTTTAAAACACGACGCGAATAACATCTATTACTTGTTCAGAAGTTGGGGTCGGATCGGCACTACAATTGGCGGCACCAAACTGGAGACATGGCCCGTAGATGAGTGTATAAGACAGTTTGAAGCGCATTTCCACGAGAAGTCGGGTAATCATTGGAAGAGTAGGGAACACTTCGTCAAGATGCCGAAGAAGATGTACCCGATAGAGCTGGATCACGGAGACGATGAGATTGTCTCTTTGGACTCGGATATCAAGAGCAACTTGCAGAAACCGGTTCAAGATCTGATCCGTCTTATCTTCGACGTAGCTTGTATGAAGAAAGTTTTGCTGGAGTTCGAGATAGACATGGAAAAGATGCCTCTCGGGAAATTATCCAAGAAGCAGATCCAAGAGGCGTACGAGGTGTTAACGGTGCTGCAGAACGAAATGAAGAAGAAGAATGGCAATACGGACCGCATCACGTTGATCGACGCTTCCAATAAATTCTACACCCTGATACCACACAATTCCGGAATCTCCGAACTGAAGCCTCTCGAAACGTTGGAAGAGATCAAGAGCAAATGCGACATGCTGGACGCGCTGCTCGAGATGGAGATCGCGTACAATCTCTTGCACGACAAGACCGACGAGAAGGAGAACCCGCTCGACGGTCACTACAAGCAGCTGAAGACGAGTATCGACGTGTTGGACAAGAAGAGCGAGGAGTTCAAGATGATAGAGCAGTATGTCAGGAACACGCACGCGGCGACTCACACGCAGTACGAGCTCGAGATCGAGGAGGTATTCGTGGTCAAGAGGCAGGGCGAGGAACAGCGATTCAAGCCCTTCAAGAAGCTGCACAACAAGAAGCTGCTCTGGCACGGGTCCAGGACCACGAATTTCGCCGGGATATTGTCTCAAGGTTTGCGCATCGCGCCGCCGGAAGCGCCCGTCACCGGCTACATGTTCGGCAAGGGTATCTACTTCGCCGACATGGTGTCCAAGTCCGCGAATTATTGCTGCACGAACAGCGCGAACACCACCGGTCTGTTGCTGCTCTGCGAGGTGGCTCTGGGAAATATGTACGAGAGATATCACGCGGACTACATCGAGAAGCTACCAAAGGGCAAACATTCGACGATCGGCCGCGGTCAGACGCAACCCAATCCCGAAGAAGTCTATAAGACCAAGGACGGCATCGAAGTGCCTTACGGCACGGGAGTACCTTTCAATGTTAAAAAGTCGGCATTATTGTACAACGAGTACATCGTGTACGACGTCGCTCAGGTGAAAGTGCGGTATTTATTAAGAATGAACTTCAAATACAAGATGTAACAATTGTAACGAGTGCGATGGTCAACGATATGCTGCACAGCTGAGCTATCCCTAGATTCTATCGTCGATCGTGCTTAAATTTTCGTACATTTCCAATTCGAGATATTGCTATAATTCTTGTTTCTTTTTTTTTTGCTTGTGTTTCGAGCTTCATTTATACTGTATTACTTTTTAATTTTAACAACAAATTTCGTGATTCCATTAATGTTTGGTTCTATATATGTTTACATACAAATGTGACTTGTTAGATACAGGCCAAATAGCTTCTACTACCTCGAATGTTCTTATCCTGTAAGATAATGCACAATAAATTTTGCAACAAGATACTTTTTCCTTGTGTTATACTTAAGTAATTAATTGTAACAATAATTAACACATTAACAATGAGAAATATAACGTGCCTCCAAGAGAATCAAGGTTCGCTGTGACTATCTTTGTTTGATGAGACCAGAAGCAAGAGTGTCGATTAATGATCAAAAGCTAAAACACCTTTCCATTAAGACGAGAGGAGTCAATAATCGGTTTAAAAGTGTCGATTCTCGTTTTATAATCGAGTTACCAGACAATCGATTAAGAATTTTCATCTATCGGAAAGAAATAATCGATTATAGTTGTAATCGGTATCGCCCATCTGTTGAGTGGTGTTGCGGGTACACCTTAAGGTCGCTTGAAACCATATTGAGAGAGAGAGAGAGAGATCGCCCATCTCTATAACATGCACATGGAGGCGAAGCACACGAGGCGAGCGCCAAAAATCTACTGGTTACCCGCTCAAATTCGTAGCGGATTTTGTGATGTAAAGTGACGCGGGCAGAGTCGCGTTAGTCACTCTTTGCAAAGGATTGGAAGATGGTAGAGTTCCCGTTGGGGTATCGCGAGGTCGTACCGGATCAAACTCTGCCAGAAAAATGGAAAGAAATCACCCTGAATACTGGTGAGCGCCTAACCTCTGCATGATAGGCCGGCAAACCGAAATATCGCTCACAACGTCACACAACAACGTTTCAAAAAGTTATTCTCAGTGATGGTGCGCGGGCGGAAATCAGATATACAGCATTCGTGAGACGGAATGACAATTTCGATCGCACGCACTTGTCTAACCTCTATCTGCCCGTTATTAATTTGGAATAAATTATTCTAGACTCTCGGCGAACATTTAACGGTCAATGTGGTGCTCCAATTTTATATTCAACGTATCGAATACGTATACGCTGTGTAAAATTTATAATTATATACAACAATAACGTGTGTGTGTGCGTGTGTATAATGAAAGTAGACCAGTATTGTTACAGTCGTTTTATAACAGGGAATAAGCGGTAAGGGCCTTAATTTTGCAGGTGGAAGCCAGAGCACATTGCAAGATATAAAAGTGCCGGAAAGAGCAGGTGGCTACTCATACAAAGACAGCTCGAAATACTTCACTCGTAACCGTTTCATTTACTGGCGTATTTGTCACGATATGCTCGAACTGGTCGAACACAGTCTGGACATCAATCTGGCGAACTGCCGGGTGAGATACAAGTTCACAGACACTCCCATCTTAGATGGAATTTCCATTCATGAGACAGTTAACTCTGTCGTTATTTTGATCGTCACCGTCTCCAGTGTTCACAAACTTTCGTTTTCTCATCCAGATAAGATTCACAGGCAGGTGAGTATGCGTGAACTTTGTTCTTTATTCTTTTGTAGATACCATTTTATTAATCTTCTTTTTTTTTTCAAGGAAAACTTGCTGGGCACATACACGGATCTTAGTGTACAGTCTATATTTAGCGAAGCTTCCGTACAAAATGCCAGAGATCCTCATACATTTCACACCATCGCCAATGCCGGGACCACAAGTAAGTCTGCGACACACAGCAAGTGTGATACTCCCAGTTGACAGCGTGTAGATTCATTTTCACCAGAATCAGGAAAGTTACCTTTGGAAAGTAACGCATCACCATTACTCGTTGCACACTGAAAAAAGTAACTCGGTATCCTTGTTCAAGAAGTAACGAGCCATTACTTTTTCATCGAGTTTCGAGGACCTTCAATCTAAGATTCGCCTCTGCTCATACACATACATATCGTACGTGTGCAAGCATAACGATGAAAGTAACGGTTACATTCGTTATCCAAAGAAAGGTAACTGCGTCGAAGAAATGTAACATCGTCGCCAGGTCGTTACTGAAGAAAAAAAAAACAACGGTAACGACGTTCCGACCGTAACGTGTCGCCTCCCCTGAATGTCACCGTATTCTCCACTGTTCGCATGCTGTCGTTAACAGGTATTCTTCCATTTTGCGTAGATTCACCGGTTCCTCACGCGGCAGCGTCGTGGCTCACATTGCCGCAGGAAGACGCGCTGTTTGCTCTCGCCTACAGTTCAGCCACTATACTGCTCCTGAGGCTGGACGCGCTGACAGGCCTCGTGCAGAGCAGCGAATTGAAGCAGGACTCGATAGTGCCCAGGTTCTTGAGCGGCATTGCCACCGCGTTCCGAGGCCGCAATACCGAGGCCCACGTGGCAATGTCCCTCGTTATACACAGTTACGGTAGCGATATGTACCTGTTCGCGCTGTGCCGGGAAGGCAACGTACGTATGTGGTCCTGCAATAAGACACAATGCACAGCGGTGACAGACGCGGCAATCGAGAATCGCATTGTGTCCCAAGGTGCGCAGGGTCACGTGCTGAGGAAGGCGCTGGGCAACGATAACGAGCTGTATCTCGGCACGTTCTTGAAATTCGGCGCCGGCTGCGAATTCAGCGTTCTCAAGCCCGTGCAAGATAACGGCATGTTCAAGTTCGTTCGATTGTGCACGTTGTACGCGCCCGACGTGAGTATCCTTCTCTCATCCCGCGATAGCGAAAACTTGCTCACGTCCAGCCCCGAAGTCCCAGATTAAAGCGAACGAATCTGTGTTATTTCCACAACAGCAACACCTGGTGGATTTCGCGTTCACCCCCACGAGATTGTGGGCGGTGTGGAGGACGACGGACATGGACGCCGTGGCGGTGACGCACGCACGGTTGTCGCTGAACGGCGCCCACGTGAACTCCGAGTGGGAGACGACGATTCTGGAGCAGGCGCGCGACCGGGATTACATCGTGAGCGATCCCGGCACGGATCCGCGCCAGGCGTACATCAATTACATCTTTCATCCCGGCCAGTTCTCACTGGCGGACATCACGAAGGCGCTGAGCATCTACAGAAGGTCGAATCTCATCGCGGACATGACCCTCTCGCCGGCCGTGTTGAAGGAGAGAGTGTGCATGGCGGTGGAGGCGGAGATGCAGGCGGAGGTGATGGATTACGTGATCATGGACGAGGATTACCTGGAGATCGCCAACAGATGCTGGTCCAAGTTCTACTCGTGCGTCGTTCAGTATCACGCCAACGGCACGCGTCCGGTAGGCTTGCTGCTCCTGCCGAGCGTCTACGGTGTCGTCCTGCTGAAAAAGTCGTCGTTCTCGCTTCTGAGACCGATGGAAGCCCTGGAGCATCTGGCGCTTTGCAACGAGAAATCCTACACGTCCCGCTTCAAGACTACGCCCGTTCTTTCCCAGGACGAAGACACCTGCCAGGATCTGATCGTCCTGATGTCGGCGTTGGTCATGCTGGGGGAACAATTGTCGGAAGAGGCGAAGACGGAAATCGAGAGGGAACTGTATCACCTGAGGAGTCCGGATATCATAATCGACGATCTCCTGCTGAAGCTGATGCTGGAGAAGCCCGACGATCCGGTGAGTAGTATTCGGGAGTTCACCGCCTTCCGTTTCGTTTCTTCGTGTGGGCTCACGAATCAACCTTCGCTTGCTCGTTCGTTGACAGTTGTCGGACTTCGATTTCCAATCAGAACTCTATCACAAGCTGGGTAACGTGAAGGACATATCCGGTGCCATGGCCATGTTGTTGGAAGCGTTAACGTACGACCTCGGGCAGCCGAGCAAGCTACAGTTCGAGAACGAGCAAGACGCCTCGAAGGTTCTGCTGCACGTGAATCACCTGTTCGGCAGCCAACTGGGCATTTCCGCGGTGTCGGAAACCGTCACGCAGATCGCGCTCCTCAGGTTTTCCATCTGCAGGGATCTATTGATACTGCAGCAAATCATACTGCAACGTTCCGAGATATTCGACTCGAGGTCCCTGCACACCGTGCGATCGTCGTTGGCGCCGAGGACCGTCGTGCTCACCCAGGCTTACTATGTCGTCACGTGGATATGCGAGTCCACGGCGACGTACACGCCGTCGCAGTCGTTGCTGTAAGTCTCGCCGTGTCGTCTCTCGCGAACGTCTCCCGTGAAGTAGCATCAGACCCCGAAAAAAAATCCACCGTTGCTTATCTCTGGTTATCGAGAAATATTGAAACGCCTTGCGAGAGGAAGTGGTAAAAAACGTGCGAAATCCTTCCAGAGAATCCAGCGCTCAGCGTCTCTCGGCACTGAAGCTCGTCGACTCGCGAATCAGCGTCGGCCAGAGGCAGCATCGCTCCCTGTCGCTCTTGGAGCTGTTCATTCACAGCAGCGGCGCGAAGCACGCCCACATCCTGATGGCTCAAGCGAACATGGACCCGACGACCTTGATACCTTGGCACTACAGCATGCTGACGCACGTTACGCTCCTCGCGCAGCTCGTGTATCCTTTGTATACGTCTCGCAATTTACCTCGATGTTCGTTTAATGAATAATTAATCGACGACGAGGTCGAGTGAGTCAGAACGAGATTATCTGTTTCCTTAAGTAACGCGATCAGATGGCCGATATCCGGTAACTTCGTCTTCCCCGAATGGCTGCTGTCCAGCTGCCAATTCCTGCTCGTGCAGGAATACGTGAGGCTGCTGAACACGTGGTGCGAATGGAACAGCGCCTCGAGGAAGTTCATATTGGCGGTCGCCTTGTTGGAGATGGGAGAGATGCAGAAGGCGTGCGACCACTTCCTTCGCGGTTCCAACGGCATCCTGACTGACGTGTTCATGGCGGACGCTCTGCTCGGCCCGAACGTCACGACGGGCAACAGCGCGCTGATCCATTATTACCTGAAAGTGATCAAACTGTTCGAGGAGCACAACGCGTCCGACTGTATCATCGAGATCGCCGAGACGGCGATCGCTGCCGCCGACACGGACGATCCGAACCTACCAACCCTCCATTCCATAATATTCGCCCAACACCTGAACCTGGGCCATCACACGGAGGCTTACCACTGCCTGAACGCGAACCCGGACGCCGCGCGTCGGGTGGACTGCCTGCGGCAGCTCGTGGTCACGCTGTTCGAGCGGAAGCTGCTGATAGACCTGATCTCCTTCCCTTACGTCGACATGTACGAGGACCTCGAGAGAATAGTGGAGGGCAGAGCGAGGAGCGTCGATCTCATGGAGAACAATTACTACAACTTTTTGTACAGCTTCCACGTGAACAAGCAGAACATGCGCAAAGGTAATTGCACGCGTGTCATCTCGTGCGACTCCGGTCACTGCGGTTGGTATATAATGCCTCGTCCACAACAGTCAATTCGCAGTTCGCAAACGGCGGCAGAAAAAGTGACAGCTTATTTTGCTGGCAGCAACCTTCGCTTCTCTCGCTGGATTGAATTCGATTGCACCTGGCGCGTGCCTTTTAGCGCGTCACTTGGCATACGCGTTCTGCAAATTGCGTTTTGTCTGTTGCGGCTTACGAACCTTGACATATGTGTGTGTAAGCCGCTGCCCTTTGAACCTTTACAGCCGCATCGGTGATGTACGAGCAAGCCATGCGTCTCAGCCAGGAGTCGCATTCCGCGCCGATCATATCGAGGCAGGCCCAGTGCCTGCTGGCGTGCATCAATGCTCTGCATCACGTGAGCGAGAAGTACAGGTGGATCGTGAGGCCTGTGATCGATCAGAACTTCACCGACGAGTCGAGCTCGCCGCAACTGCAGAAGAAGAGGGGCATAGACGGGAAGGAGGTGCTGCACTACAAGATCAAGAAACAAGTCGAGGTCCTCGAGTTGAATGACATCAAGAAGGAGTACTACATAGTAGACGCGAGACTGAAGATATCGAAGGTCAATTCGGAGATGCACATAGTCGCGCACACTGGTACGTGCCCTGTGATGAGTGTGTCGTTTATTGCGAAATGATCACGCGCGCACATTTTTTACCTATATATTCCACTCATTCTTCGATATATTTCAGAACCATCCGAACTGGTCGTCACTTTATGCAGCACCGGCCTGTACACAACGGCGCTGCGCTTGTGCGACGAGTTCAGAATCAGCAAAACGTCCGTGCTCGAAAGTCTGACGTCGCAGTGCATCAAACTGAGCCAACGCGAGGATCCGAACGCCTGGGACTGGCTGATACAAAACGACATATTCGGTAGGCATGATTACCAAGTGTAGAAGTATGAAACCAGAATTTCCCTATAGATGGTGCTAGCCATCAGTTTAGGGACCGTAAGATCGCTTCTGCAGCACCATCATCTCCCTCTAACAGCTGACGAAGATTTTCAACACACAACAACCCAAGTTCCATACACCGGTATATTTTTCTATAACCTTAAACATGTCGAGTTTTGTGCCTACGAACTACGATTTGCGGACAGCATTGGTTTTTTGTTATCATTTGAAGAAAACTGCTGCGCATCGAATGCTTGTCGAAACTTACGGTGAACATGCTCTTGGTAAAACACAGTGTTTCGAGTGGTTCAAAAAATTCAAAAGTGGTGATTTTGACGTGAGAAACGAAGAGCGTGGGAAACCACCGAAAAAGTTCGCAGACAACGAATTGCAAGCCTTATTGGATGAAGATGATACTCAAACTCAACAAGAACTCGCGGATGAATTGAATGTGACGCAGAAAGCTGTCTCAATTCGTTTGAAAGCCATGGGAAAGATTGAGAAAGTGGGAAAATGGGTTCCGCATGAACTGAATGAAAGACAGCAAGAAAATCGAAAAACCACTTGTGAAATGCTGCTCGACAGATACAAAAGAAAGTCCATCGTATCATGACAGGTGATGAAAAATGGATATATTTTGAGAATCCTAAGCGTCAGAAATCATGGGTGAATCCAGGCGAACCATCGACATCCACTGCAATAGCTTTGGAAAGAAGACAATGCTCTGTATTTGGTGGGATCAGAAAGGTGTAATCTATTATGAGCTGCTAAAACCTGGTGAAACCGTTAACACTGATCGCTACTAACAGCAAATGATCGATTTAAATCGCGTGAAAAACGACCAGAATATGGAAAAAGGCAACACAAAGTCATTTTGCTCCATGATAATGCCTCATCACACACAGCAAAACGGGTCAGGGAAACGACCGAGACGTTCAGTTGGGAAATACTAACGCATGCGGCTTATTCCCCAGACTTGGCTCCGTCCGATTATCATCTATTCGCATCAATGGGACACGCTCTCGCTGAACAACGCTTCAATTCGTATGAAAATGTACGAAAATGGCTCGATAGCTGGTTCGCTTCAAAAGAAGAAATGTTTTTTTGGCATGGCATTCATAAACTGCCGGAAAGGTGGGAAAAATGTATAAATAGCAATGGATATTATTTTGAAGAAAATATTTTTTATCATTTTCAAACAACAGACGTGTAATTTTTACAAAAAAATTCCGGTTTCATATTTCTACACCTGGTATATTCGTGGCTTTCGCGAGAACTGCGAGAATCGTTCCCATTTGTGCTTATTCTCTCCCGAAATCGCTGATGATAAGTAATCCTGACGGCGTCTCTTCTTCAGATATCGGCATATCCAATACGACTATTACAAATACCGCTTGGAGGTTGTTGGAATACTTCACGTTGAAACACGAGAAGAGTACCAACAGTGAACTGCACAAAGCCGTTGCGCGGATGTTACTGCAAGACGGAGCCTTCCTGCCGCAATGGTTATTAATATCGTACAAGGTGAGAGATATATAAAATTGAATTTGTGCAGTTCTTTCTCTCTACAATGAAACTGATTTTGCAGAAACGAAACGCCTCGGAGCTCCTGCGTCTTATGTTAAATACCGGCCGACTGTTGGAAGCGAGCGATTTGGCGGTAGATTACATCAATGCGGTGTTGGGTAGCGGCAAAGAACATTTCGGCCTGAAAACGTCATTATTGGCTACCGCGCCGCCAACCTGGTTGCCGCTCAACACTATAGAAGTACTTTTAAGTGAATTAGAATGCTTGAGTCAAGACTTCACTTACGTAAAAGTACGATGAATTTACTCGTGAAGATGTCATTTTAAAATATTTAATATACACACACGTTCAAATTTATATTTCAGAGCTACGAAAGATTATACACAACGTTGGAGAAATACATGGAAATAGTGAAACGCATTTCGGACGATATGATCGAGATAAAAATGAAGAGCAAGCACTCCTAGTAGTAAGTAACAATATGTTTACTTATTCCGTGTACAAAGTTATTGCTGAACATAATGTCAGCTCTAGCGACTTCACGTATGGTGAGAGAAATATTTGTTCGGCAGTCAACAATTAACTTGAAATGTGTTAAGTATAAATTGGCCTGTGGTTAAGTGATTCGACAATTGTCAATTACAACTGATACTGAGAATTGTAGCCACGAACGCACGGCTACTGTATGTGGATATCGTTTGAACAATACTTACGATTGTTTGAGTCTCCAAATTTTAATCGGATGTTCAATTTAAATAGAAAGATAGAATCAATTTTGATCGTAATTATGATGAAATTATTGCCATTAGTAGACCAACCATCTCAAGAGTAAAAATAGATCCGATCGATAGGAGAAAAGATATAGGCTTATGTCTCTGCATCTCGGGATTTGTAAAGTGTACGATTACCGTTAATTTTGAATAATGGTAACTTGAGAGATAATTATTTCTACAATTTTCTCTAAATGCATACAACGTATGAATTTGGAGAAAATTGTCTCTCCCGTTAGATTTCCATAAAAACTCATTTGTACGCTAGATTTAGCTATTATATTTATTATAAACCGGAGCATAGAACCTCGTTATGATAATGTTGTCTCTTGCTATTCCAGAATTAGGCAAATTCTGCGTGTCTTCTGTTTGCGTATCATCTCTCGACCAGCCTCCTGTGATGTACATACTTGTATCGGTTTACGTTATCATTACAGTAATTGTAATAATAATAATAAAAATAGTAGCTTTATTGGCCACGACAACAGTATAATATCAATCATATAATCTGTAACAATTTATGTCCAAAAGGCGAGGTAGCAGCACTAGATATCAATGCCTGACCCGAGTAGATGCAATTGTAACAATTTGTAACGGTAGCACACTTTATACGCGCCATTCCGAAGCATCACGCACTAACATCATCCGCAGCGCACGTCACCTCCTCGCCGCCGATAAACGCGATAGCCGAGAGTTATCGAAAAACTGTGAAACTCGCGGCGAAACTCACCAAGTCCTCGCGATCCGAACCGAAACGGGCAACTGTCGTAAAGTTTCCCGATAAATGCACAGAATCATTTAGCAAATTATTTTTCGCTATACATCAGGTTGATGAGGAATTTCAGAAACCTGATGCACAACAGATACAAGATCTTCAGATGGCATTACAAGAATTCTGCATTCCAGTCGAAAATAAAACAGTAAACCCTGTCATATTTGAAGAGGTATTGCCTATTGCTTGCAAGTTTGTGAAAACGGAGAAGTCGGAACCTTTGCTGAACCAAATCAGATTTTTTCTCGATCCTTTAGATTTTTTTCTTATGTAGAGGAACCACAGGAGTTGTAATCGAGTTGGAATATAAGAGAGATGATAAAGATACAAGCAACCGTCCAGAACAAGTTTTGATACGAATATTAGAGAGTTGAATGGTGAAACACATTTCGGACAATATGATCAAGATGAAAATGATAAGCCAGCACTCCTGATAGTAAATAACAATATATTTATTTATTCCGTGTATACAGTTTAAAAATCTCCTCAGACATCAGATCTAGCGACTTAACGTACGGATGGAAGAAGTATTTGTTCGGCATAATAGGCAACAATTACCTTACTTTAACGTGTTAAATATAGATTGGCCCCTGGTTACACGATATGACAACTGCCACTACAATAATGATACCGAGAATCGCAGCAACGATCGCTGCCACTGTGTATGGGTATCGTTTGAACAATACCTACAATTGTTTTGTTTGAGATGCTAAATCTTAATCAGACATTCAACTTAGAAAGAATTAATTTTGATCGTAATCACGGTGAACATGTGAAGTTATTACCATTAGTAGGACGACCATTCCAAGAATAAAAATAGATCCCACCGGTAGGAGATAGGATGCAGCCCAATGTTTCTGCATCTCGGTATCTGTAAGAAAGAAATATATGGCACCGTAACTTTAATTCTGAATAATTTAACTTGAGGAGATAATCTCTATATGCGTAAGATGTACTGATTTAGGAATAATTGTCTTATGAATTTAACTTATACGTTCAAAGCACAAAAGAAACTCACTCGTACGCCAGATTTGGCTGTTATACTCATTGTAAGCTGGAGCATATAGCCACGTTATAATACTTTTGTCTCTTGTTATTCCAGAATTCAGCAAATTCTGTGTATCTACTGTTCGTGTATCATCTCTCGACCAGCCTTCTGTGATGTACATACTTGTGTTGGTTTATGTTATCATCACAGCAACTGTAACAATAACCGAATTGTCATGGAATTGGTTTTAATTTCCACATCCCCCAAACGTGGATTTTCCATTACGTGCGAGACCATAAGAGTATGTGTGTTTGCGTGATGACTTAAAATGCCAAGAATTGACTGTAACACCCGATGTATCTTGTGAGAATGCAGATTATGGTGAGAGATTTCTTTGAGAGTGTCTTTCCGTTTAGAACATATTTATCTTAAATTATTGTCCGCTATATGTCGTTATTTATTATTGTTACATTTTTCACCGAGTCTTGTACAATTTTTACACATAATAAAATTAAGCTTCATCACAAAGTTAGGCACACTGTAATTTTTATCACCTTGCCTGATCTGCAGTCCAACAAGATCTATCATATTTAACGTTCTCATCCAAGATTGTTATCAATTCCCACATTTCCCCATGACAATATATAATATTGACTAATACTAATTATTTTTCCCACTTTTACATTAAGATGAAATCAATAAACAGTTCCTAACCACTTGTTTACCGAACGTTAAAAACAATAATGTAACTACGCTTTTATAAAATATCTTCACTCGCCACTTTTATTTCACCTCCTGTCACAGATACCATTATATAAAATAATACTTAGCACAAGAATGTACGTATAACACGAGGGATTTGTAACTTTGATCGGATAAATAACTCATTACGATCAGTTTTATATCACAATACAATCACACACACCGGTGATTAATGAGCGATTTAAATCAGGAAATAATCGTACAAATGTAACATGGATACTCACCCCGAAAAAAAAAATGTGTCGTTCATACGCTACGCAACTGTTATCATTGCTCACACAGTGTCATTGTCGGGAATACTCGTCTCACTCGCGTTAGAATAATGTCAGAATAGACGGAACTAAATCAACCGACACCACAGCCGACATACCCCATCAGCCATCATGCACGACAGTAACATTTTACCTTATTTGCACAAGCAAGATAAACAAAGTTAAAAGTTCAATCGCTGCAGACGAGATAAACGCACGTACTCTTTAGATACTCTCTAGATACTTCGTTCGCAGATAATAATCTGATCTTTCCAGGCATAATTCGTATGCATTTTTGTACGTTTCACTCCGAATACAAGATACTGAAAAATCAAAAGAGAAAAGAGATCTCTTATCTCACCTTGCGGTGTAAGAAAAAATTTAAATGAACGGTACACATAAAGAAAGAGAGAAAGAGAGAGAGTAGAAAGAACGGATTCATCTCTCTAATAAATGGCGCTGATTGTCATCTGAACCATCTAGAGTCTGGAGCGTGGTTCATTGGCATGGCGGCGTGCGAAAAAACCGGCTGATTTGTTGATGTTTTGCATATGTAGGCGTTGATACCGCGCGAGAAATGGGCAGTATGATTAAGATATCGGCTCTCAACGAGGAGTCGAGCGAGGAAAGCGAGGAGGAGGATTTGCCTACGATCACGAAGGAGGCGCAGGTGAGAAATGCGAGTCGTTGTTGTCCCTTTCATTCGGACGTATAACCTCAAAGCTCGTCCAATTCGCGGGGAATCGGAGCTCTTTTCTGTCGCGCAAATTCCGGATACTCCTGGCGTTTAACGTTATTATTAACGAACGTTATATCTGCGATATATTTTGACGTTGAATTTATATATTCGTAGTATGAGTGCTTGTACGGATGTGACGGGTGTGTGAAGTGTTTGATTTGACCGACTATCATGTGCACAGATGTTCGCATTTAGCAGTAAATGTGTCCGTGATCTGTATTTTTAATTGTTCAGCAGACTGTAGTCCGTGTTATTGTATGTTGGGAATCCTAAATTCAATTAAAGATCGCAGAAAAATGGAACATCTGTTGCAAATGTATCTCGGTACTTTGTATGAGCCGAATTATCAGCATACTATTGTGGAAATGTGCCTGTCAACTTACATCCCGTGTGATTTCAGGAACAAATAGCACTGACAGAATATAACAAAGCCTTAGAATTGCTGAAAGAGAATAAGCGGGAGGAGGCGCTGGTTATTTTTAAGGACCTCTTAGAGACTGAATTATTAGATGAAGTAGAGAAGCCGGAAGTACCAGATGGCAGGTCGAGGCCGATGTTATCCTTGAAGTATTCCTGTTTCAAGAACATCGGCGCCATTCAGGCAGCTTGCGAGAATTACACGGAAGCTGTAGAAAACTACTGGGAGGCTGCGAACTTGGATGATTCCGATGTAACGCTGTGGTATAGAATTGGTACATTGGCCATGAAAATTTCTAACTTAGAATTAGCCTGTTCGTCCTTCAAGCAGGGCCTGAAGTGTAACTCGAGTCACTGGCCATGCCTGGACAATTTAATAACTGCCTTATATGCCGTTCCTGATCACATGAACTGTCTGTTATATATTTCTACGGCGTTGGAGAAAGATCCTAATTATGTGAAGGGTCTGGCTTTCCGTGACAAAATATTTAAAGACATTCCATGTATGGAGGAATGTTACAAGCTGTACAACAGTGATTGGCAATTGGATCCACCTTTGTATACGGAATATGATCACGTGTTGGGTGATAAATTATTAGCAGAAGCGAAGGAGGTATCCGAAAAATGGGCGGAAGTTTGTAAGGCCGAGTTCACGCCGAAACCGTTGCCGGAATTGACTCTAAGAACGCCTCTGATAAGCTGTACATGGTTGGCCCTCGGAGAAAGCTTGCTGGATATGCATAGGTACATCACTGAGAACAATTTAAACTTCGTAAGCCGAATTATATTATTAGTTCAAAAGCCCGATGACAAGGATGTGGTGGCGAGTAATGAGTGCGAGGCTGAAGAAAGTAACGTTATGGAGATAGATCAGGAAAACTTACCTGATTCAACTCCAAACGGGGACACCGACATCGGCAAGTCTGTTAAGATGGAAACGGAAGATTGTACTTTCGAGATGTCCGATGACAATCAAGCCTTTAATACAGCTTCAGATACAGCGATGGAAGTTGAGACTGAAGACGACAAGAAATCTTGCTCAACCGATGTGCAAATAATCGAAGATGAAGATCCACTGAGAATGTCCGACACGGACGGCTTGCAATTTGAGGAACAAAGTCAAACGAAGAACATGGATTCGGAGGAACAGATGCAATACGAAGTAGACGCTAATGTTGACAAATTGGAGAGCGACAAGGTCACGGATGACGTTTACAGCACGGATAACGGAGCGCCTAACGAGAAATCCAGCGACAAGGAAAGTGACAAGTCGAGCGACAAGGCGTCCGAGAAAGGCGTCGGTGAGAAGACGAACGACGCGGTGAACAAAGCGGATGATAAAGCTCATTCGGAAAAAATGATCGATGGAAAGGAAGAGGGGCAAAAGGTGAAGAAGAGGCGCAGAAGCGCACTGTGCTTCTTGCAGCAGTGGGCATGGAGTTGCAGCAGCATGAGACGATCCGCAAGAGTCAGGGGTTCGAATAGAAGGGAAGCGGAGAGGGATGACGTTCAGCTGGAAGAAACACTACGAAGACTGTTTCCTAGCACTCTGTTGTACGTATACATTACATTAGAAGCTTGCGAAAGTTCGTCGGATCGAGAAATTATATCATTAAATATACGTACGTGTAAAACAATTTATAATCTTTTTTTACAACAGGCCAGATACGGTGAGGCTGACTAAAGATGACATCACTAAAAACGCAGATGACTCTATGGATACCATGGATATGTATCAATTATTCGCAAATCAAGAGCATAATGGTAACAATATGGAGGCCCTTAAGAGTTCGGAGAGCTCCAAATCACCGAGCCCTGACACGAGGTATTTGTTTACAATTCAAATTTTATCTGGTGTGATAAGATGACGTTATGTTATCCAGCTTTCTCTGCACAGTCAACAGCAGAAATACTTCGAAACGGAAGCGGAAATTGCCGATGTGGATGCGTTTATAAGTCAGCATAGTAGCAAAAGTAACTTAATGATCATCATCGCGAAATACGCCGAGTTTTTGTGCACCAAGTGGAGTCAGGAATGGCCGAAAGGGATGCCGGAGATTTACTTACAGGCTTATGCCTTTATGAGGTAGGCATTAATGGCGTAAAGATTGCGTTTCGCAATGTTAACGCAAACAAATAATATTTTTCTGCAACTTTTTTCAGGCAACATATCCCACACTTGTCACCGTTCGACGATGATGTCGACGAAAAAATATTAAAGATGGATACCGAGATGACGTTGTTATTTGGTGAACTTCATACAGACAGGTGGCTGGATAACAAGCCAGAAACTCTGTCAGGTTCAACGTAAGTTTTATATGTTTCCATCATTATTCTTATTTCCATCTTATCTGCGAAATTGTTATTACAGGTTGGATAAGCTTGGTACCGGGCTGCCAGCCGAGGAATTGGGGCATATAATATTTACAAGTGTTAGACAGGATCTCTTAAGTGAAGAGAATTTATACATTTTACTTAGGATCTTGTGGCTTAAAGCTAATATCTTTTTGTGCCAAGGTGATATAGATATCGTCATAGAGACGTTAGAATTGGTGAGAAATATTTCAATTTACATTAAAGAATTGATCAAATGTAAACCACGCGTCGTTATAAATTATACGTATGTGTCATTTTCAGTTGTTAAATCGCCTGCAAGTAATTGAGAGTAAAAAGCCAAATGCTTGTATCACTCTTTCAAATTGTAAAAATAACTCTCAAATCAGCACGAAGCTTGTAAAGAAGAAGCTTACGTCGATTCAAAGGTATTGCCAAAGTTCTCAGCGCGTTAACGTGAGCTATGTGTCCAAATAGATAATATTGTAACGTCACTTTAATCACTTTTAATCATACAGGGGTCAAAAGTTGGGCGAGATCCAGCGTCTGTACGATGAGAAGAAATATGCTGAACTCTCTTACATACTGCAGGATACTTTCAAATTTGCCAAACAGAGGCACAAATTGTTGATAACGAATGAAAAAATTGTCGATCGAGTTCGACAATTAACCATGTTGCTCGACAGTTTATGGCAACTTCAGCAGTATGAGGTAACACACATGATCAGTGTTAATTTTTTTCTGTACAAATGTATGCACTTACGTAGAAAGTCACGTTAGAATTATGCAACAATTTCGGACGCCTAGGAATGTTACGTTTGGGCGGAAGCTTGTCTCAATGAGTCGTGGCAAAACTATTTAAATTCCTCCGACGAAGCTGAACAGAAGAAATGGGCGAGTTCCGTTCTGACGGCACTCGAGAAATTAGAGGCCTGTACAATCGAAGTTAGCGTATTCACTGGTAAAATCAAACCACGAGAGAATTTTTTTAATAATAATTCGCATTAACATTATCACATTGCTCACGTGCTTTCGCGTCGTGATTGCAGTAAAGTACCTGTCGGAGCCTCGTTTGTCAAGGTTGGTTCAAAATCTAGTCCACATCGTTTGTCACCAATTAGACGTACCGGAGAACGCTGTAGAAATGCCACTCGAAACTGTGTTACCTTGGATCCTGTTGCATTACATTTTGCAATAGTAAGTTTGCGCCGTCGTTAAAAACGTCTCTCGGCGGGTACACGGAGATGCGGGCGATGTTATTGCTTGAATTTGATCTTTACAGCGAGGAGGACAAGGAGAGAGCAAAGGCTGAATCCCCTTATAAAAATAAGATCCACGGCTCTCATCATTCCGAGTCAGATGACGAGGACGAGGGCATCCCGCCGTCCGTAATGATTTTGTTCACTGCCCATGAATTTATCGGTAGGCACTCGTGGTGTTGCTTCAACGAGGCGAAATTACTCTTCTTCACTATGAATCTCATTATACCGCAACTCGAGACTCCGCAGTACACCACCATCAAGAACCGGCTCACCAAGTATCTCGAGCAGATATTCTTCTGCCTGTACGGTCATCCCAACAGAGTGAACAAGACACGGCCCAAGTATCTTCAGGATCACGGGGTGCCGCAGATGGAGCTGACTTGGGAAGGAGCCCAGCTATTGTTCGATTTTTACAAGCCGAAGCAGCTGCCCAACTTTCAGTCACCTCGTCTCCTCTCCATCAGCATGGACACAGAGATACTGTTCAAGAGGATAATCAGGCTGGTCCCGCAGGAGAGTGACCCGAATCAGATAGTAGAGGACATGACGGCCTACATAATCGGCGCCAAGGAGAAAATGCCGAGCGTGATAAAGCCGTTGCCGCACGCGATATCCACCGTCTACTACTTGCTAGGCGACTTCTATTTCAAGAACAACAAGTGGGAACACGCCTGCCGTTACTACCTTCTGGATCTGTGCTTGTATCCTAGGGGATTAAATTCGTGGGCGGGCTTAGCCATGGCAACGGGCAGCATAATCGAGAATTGGCTGAACAATTACAGACCTATGTGAGTATTGTCGATTTAATTTCTCCGTCTTTTCTTTAGACCCGTGACGATAATGACGTCAAATGTTTTCTGCATTCGGTAGAGGAAAGGACAAGTTTCTCAATAAAGCGAAGATGGCACAGTCGAGTTATCAGCACGCTATCGAGCTGGCGCCCGGCCACTCTGTGATCTGGACGGAGTACGGAAACTTCGTCTACATGGTTCATTCGTTCTGTTCGCGGCTGCTCAAACAGGAGACCGACACGCTGAGTATGGAGAGATTTGAAATTTTGGAAACCAGGAAAGAGGAGATGCTGGAGATCGCGGATCAGTGTTTCGAGTCTGCCAATCGGATATGCCAGACTATCGAGGAGCCGACTATGCATCACGACGAGAGATGGCTTTACCAGTATATGCTCGGTAAAGTCGCGGAGAAGAAGAATGAGGATCCTCCTGCATTTTTGGAACATTATGCAAAGGTTGGTCGTTTCGTCTGTTATAATTAATCTTCGATATTATTTATTTTTTTTTTCTAATTGCTCATGTCTACCTAACGCCGACCGAACACATCGTTATCTGATTTCAGGCTAGTGAATTGTTATACGAGAATAATGCCCAGTACCCACGTAGAATAAGTCACAAAAGTCCGCAGAATTTAGCTATAGAGGCGTTAGAGGTTCACTATCGCATCCACGCCAGCATACTCAAGTATTTGGAGCAACACGAGGGGAAGCCGCTAAAGAAGTCGTTGGGTCGGTTGTTCCATTGGCATCTCAAGAATTGTTCGGAGGGGTCTTTCATGAAGTATCAGTCCAAGCTCAACGAGAAGAAGAAGGAGGAGTGCTCTGATACCGAGAAAACCACTTCGAAGGAATCCGATAGCGCGATAGATGTCGATAAAAATATGGCGGCGGTATGCCAACGCTCAAGTAGTATCGAGGAAATAGAAATCGTAGATAGATCGAGTAAATTCGCCGATGTTAAATGTACAGAGCCGGGAAGGCCGGAAGGTCGCAAGAGGTATCCCGACGAAACGTCGCACGACAATACGAAGAGAATAAAATTAGGTAGCGTCTCGCACTTGCAGCTGATGCAGGACGTCGTGGCGTTAATAGACGATTTGATCACGAAAGTGTGCGATATGGCGTCGCAAAAGGAGAAAACGAGCGACGACGTGATGGTCCTGTCTAGCGACGAGAGCAATGAGTCGAGATTGCAGAAGAAAAAACTGGAGAACAGGAACGCCGATAAGACGAAGTCGCAGGCGAGGGCCGAAGAGAGCAAAAAAAGCTCACCGAATATATTAGATTCCGACCGAAAGACTGATAATGTACAGGATATCATGGATGCTCTGATGAAGCAGGCGATGGAAATCAGCCAAGAAACTCAACAGTCTTCGTTGGACGACGAGGATACCAGAAAATTCGACGGCAAGTGGCTGCAGAACGAAGACTTGCAGCAGTCCTCAGTATGTTTGTCCCCCTCCCCTCCCCCCTCCCCTTTTTTCTCTTTTCCCTTTACTTTTTCCGACTAATATAAGTCAGTGTTGATTCCGTTGCGACACGGAAGTTGCAGTTATTTTCATTTGCGAACAGGAGAAGGAGAGAGATGGCAAGGACAAGACAGGGGACAAGAGAAAAACGCAAGCCGGTACAAACGAGGAGATCACTCTGAGCAGGAGAGGCTCGCAGGAAAGCACTACGACTACGCAAACCACTACCACGACTACGGAGACGAATAATTCCAGTTCCAGCAGCAGCGAGGAGTCCAGCAGCAGCGACGACAGCTCCGACAGTGACAGTTCCAGCGACAGTGACAGCGAGTCCGTCGACAGCGACGCGGATAAGAAGAAGAAGGATTCGAACATTACGGAAAACGGTAAGTCACGATTACAATTGCTCTTTATTCGTTACAACGGAAAGCTACGATACATCTCAGAATTATCTTACATTGGAAGAATTACTATATTTTACTATCTTTGTCATTTCAGAAGAACAAATGCCAGAAGAAGAAGTCGCATCGCTAATCGCATACTGCCTGGCCGGCTTGGAGCAATGTATATTAAGGTTCACAGAGCATCACAAGTCCTTCTACAGACTGGCGCACTTCTTCTTCAATAATAAAAAGTCAAAGAATACTGCGAGATGTAAGGATCTCTTGTTAGGAACATACACTTGTCAGTTTTACCCCGGACAAACTTTCCAAGGACTTTTCGCCGATAGAAGAAGCACCAATTTCTTTAACGTAAGTAACTTTAAAACTATATGTACATAACACCGTGTCAACAATGCAGTGTCCCAAATCAAAGATAATACCGAGCTCGTGACACAATTCGCATTTAAGAGAGACATTCCGATATTAAATTTTTAAATGCAATTAGATCGAAATCCTGAATAATTCTCGCATTGTGCGCCGTATTGTTGGAGTCTACTATAACTGCACCGCGTGCGTCTCCAACAAGTACCGGTACTAAGGTAGTTTCAAACGATTTCTTGACTATCTCCGGTTTCAACATTATCGTCATGGCCATGGCGTCCGATGGTTCCCAAAACTCTTGCTTTTCGAAAGCCACTCTTTCAGCTAGATACAAAAACTTTGCGAACGAAGCTTTCAGTTTATTAAAGATCATCTTGTGTTCGTCCTGTTTGGAAAACAACATCGTATTATTTAACGATGAATAGTGCACACGTGTTGTTTGTAGTTCATCATCGTTACCTTCGAAATAGGATGAGAGCGCACTGTATCTATCGGAAATAGTGTATGGACTTTATTGGTGCTGTTAAACGTAATCCAATTACTTTCTGGATCTTGCTCGAAGTTAAATTCGAGCTTAAGGCTCTCATCGCTTTCCGATTGAACGCTCGATCCCATTATGATAAGTTGTTTCGTGTAACATAGAAAACGAGGTTCTAGCGCACTCGCTACGGCAATATTTGTCAGAGGTCCAAGAGTAACTATAGTTACTTCACCTGAAATAGAACAAATTTTAAATATTTTTAGGACCGTGTACCGTTAGTGTGTATACCACAAACAGTCTTTGAAATGAGTGAGAGTGAGTGATCACCCGGATATTTCTTCACTAGGTCGACGAGTACTACTGGAGCGCGTTTAGTTTCATCCACCTTAGTTATTATCTCTTGAGTGAAATTAAAGTCCCCAAATCCGTCTTCGCCGAAGTAATTGTCAAACTTATAATTGTTTACCAGTGGTTTTACAGAACCAATGTACACAGGAACCTGTCAAATTAAAAAAAAAATCGTGTACAAGGATATTTTGCGAAATTCCAGTAAAATTGCAGAAATTTCGATGTATATGTTGAAAGAGCAATATCTGATAATTATTTCGCTTACGTCGCTTCTGTTAGCAACGGTTAAAATTTTCAAGACGTTTTGTGTCACGTTTTTCAAGTACGCGTTGCCATACGTGCAAGTTATAGCTAGAATTTCGATGTCGCATGTCCTGGTCTCGTACATAAGGGCCAGCATTAGCGCTAAAGCGTCATCTCCGCCAGCATCCGTGTCTATTACCATCTTTCTCGGTTTCTTCGATTTGCCGTAACAGGGTTGACTGTCGCTATTATGTTGTTTATGTACACGATAAATCAACGAATATGATCGTAAAATATTGTACGTGCAAATGAGCAGCTATCTATTCGTTACCTAACAGAAATGTGCAGATACAGCAGTATCGCAACCGTACATACAGCTATACTGCATTTGATAGCCATGCTCGCGAGCCGATGAATGATCTGTAATTAGAAAAAATGCGAAACTTACAAAACTGTCGAAACATTTTTCATTCTCGCATGCCGTAAACACATACGCCCGATATTACGTATGTGAACATCGGTTAATAATACAGTTGAATTTGTCCAGGGAGTGTGGCATATACCGGTCAACGAGATCGACCGGCCTGGAAGTTTCGCCTCGCATATGTCGAAATGCGTGACGTTACTTATGCAAGTACTAAAGGAGACCAACGACAGTCGAATGTTGATGCAATTATGCATACAGCTCGGGAAGATACCGGATTCGGACAAGTAAGATCGCTCGAAGTTGACGAATAAAATGAATAACTTAATTGGAATTTTCTACAGACGGTTAGAAGCGGACGGCTGATTTAATTATAATTCGTTCGTTCTTTCGCATCTAGGAAATACTTGCGTGACTCCGAAAGAGAACAATTGTCACGCCAAGCTTTGACGCTCTGCCAACAGTCGCTGAGAAGTAGAGTGCAGGCGATGGGATCGGCGAGCACGATTGACAGTGTCCACCTTATCAGAACCGATGCTAGAACACAAGTGTTGCTTGATGTATACGAAACATATCAGCTCGTGCAGAAAAATTTTCAGGGTAAGGAGTCGACTATACAGGCGTTTGCAGCTTTGTTAACGGACACGTACAAAATGTACATAGGAAACAAAGTGAGTACTTTATCACACATTATTATCAATAACAAGTCGCATGTAGTTTATAAATAACACTTCGTTCGTGTGACTATCACGTCTCTATTTTCGCTTCACCGCGTATTACTTCAGACATTGATAAACTACGCTCAGTAGCAGTCTCAGTCAGAATAATGCGCTTTAACTGACCACACCATACTAAATATTATGTGTTCAGAAATTGCTAAGTTAGAAAGAGAGAAGAAGAATAGCACATTAACATCTCGTTCTGTTAACATTAATTACGAACAGTCATTGCAATATCAAAAACATTATTAGCAAGCGAAGTTGCTAAATTAGAAAGAAAGAAGAAGAATAATACATTAACGTTTCGTTCTGTTAACGTTAATCACGGACAATGATTGTAACATCAAAAACACTAACAAGTGAAATCCGCCGAGCCCGCGTGCTGGCAAGCATGTTGTTAGTCATGAGATAACGTTAATAATCATTTTTAACCAAATAGCAAAGCAATGACCTTCAGTGCTAACGATTCTTTACGCTACGTTCCAGCACTTGGATGGTAATACCTTGGATATCGCCATCAAATGTTGCCAGCGTCAGATACAAGCGAATAAAATCGCGTCGATCAGCAATAGCACCACCGGTCACATACAACCGCCTCAAGCTGTTTCCACAGTTTCGGTAAATAAACTCACCTATGTTGTTATATACCGTCACGTTCGTTATTATCTTATCTAAGAAATAAATAAAATGTCTTATCGCAGGCGCCGCCGCCGCCGCCGCCGGTACAAGTGAATTCCACATCTCCGCAAGCTTCGCAAAATCCCCGCAAACCGCATAGAAACCTGACGTCCACCGGCCGACCCAGAGGACGGCCGCCCAATGTCAGCAAATACTTGCAACCCATACAGCAAGGCGGCAACGTGATGAGTCAGTTCGGCTCCAAGAGCAACTACGCGAGCTACATGGGCGCGTCCGGGCCGAACCGTTCGATGATGAATCCTTACTACATGAGCCCGCTGGTCGACCCGACCGTATTGTCGGCCCTGTTGGCCAGCAACATCATGGACCCCCTGTCAGCGATGAGCTATTTGAATCAAATGGGAAGCTACCAGGACATTATCCGGCAGTATCAGAGCAACTTGTCGTCCCTGACCAATCTCGCCGCCGGTGGCTTGAGCAATCCCGGCACCACTATGACCGCCGGCATCAGCAATGTCTCGACGATGAGCACGACCACCAGCCCCAGTATCAACAGCAACATCGGTAACCTGAGCAATCTGAACATGACGATGCAACAGTTGCTGAGCATGAGCAATTCCACGGGGTCGGCGAGCTCGCGACCGATGTACCATCAAACGACGGCCAAGACCAGCACGACCGTGTCGATGACGAAGGACAGGCCCAGCATATCCATCACGCCGGTAAGCACGTCGCTCGGCCAGCAGCCGCACAAGTCCGCCAAGCCCAGCAGCAGCAAGCAGCCGAGCGGCACGCAGAGCGACCAATTACCCGTTCACATACCCAAGTCACTTCAGATATCGCCGACGAAGCCGGCGGTGTTGCACACGTCGAATACAGCGCAGGTGTCCCTGCTGAAGCCATCCGTCATCCAACAGGTGAAGACCAGCCCGCCGAAGCAGGTGACCGCCCCGCAGATTCGCGTCTCGAAGTCGCTGATCGAGCCGCAGCCGGCGCACAACTCCACGCTGTCGCACTCACCCCTGAAGAGCGGCGGTACTGCCGGCGGCACGACGAATCCCACGGTCGTTCCTCAGGTCGCTCACACCGCCGGCGCCATGGGCGCGCCCGTCGTCATGAAGAGTCTACCCCTGAATCTGCCCGCCTCACGCTCCGGCACTTCCCTGCAGCACAAATTGCTGTCGAAGAAGAACTCCCAGCGGCAGTACCCGCAGAGCACGAGCGTGCAGAACTTGATGAGGAAGACGAAAGCCGCGAGCAAAGCGATGCCCGTGCTGTCTGGCAATTTTCCCAATTTATTGAGCGCAATGCCACCTGGGAGCAGTGCTGCGATGTCGCAACCGTCGCCTTTTATACCGCCGGAATTGAGCGGCATCTCCGTCAGTGCCGTGACGCAGCCTCCCGGTATGAAGGCCAACAAGGCGTATCACGGTTATAAAAAATCGAACGTCAAGTCGAAAGTGACGTCAGCGGCAACGGCCGTCGTCACGGTGGCTGCGGTGGATGTGCCGAGCTCCTTGCCGCCGTCCTATTCCCAGAGCAGCTCGGTCGACGCGCTCTCGATGCTGACGCAGTTGCAACAGCACTCGCACTTGGAGATAATACCGCAGCAGAAGGCGCCGTTGAAGCCGAGCATCGACTATTCGAAGGTGACGATGGTGCCGCAGAAGGTGCCGTCGGAGACGCTGAGGCCCTCGACGGCCGCCGAATGTATGCCCATGTACGATATGCCGAGGGGAAAGCCGCCGGCTAACATCCAAGCCAAGAAGACGGATAAACTCGCGAACGATAGCGTGGAAATCATCACGTTGGACGATTAATCGGAAAACTCGCATTCTAACGGTGGCGCGCACACCGCCGGAGATTATCCCGCGCTCACGTTTCGCGCGAAGGTGTGTTACCCTCGTCTTCGAGAAAACCGGCGAAGTCAACTCGACTCGATGAGATTGGTATCGCTAATTAGTTCCTCGTAGTCGAAACGACAAATCGACATCGCGGACAGCACTTACTTGACGTATCGCGTTGCGTGGAATTTTTTGTATAAAACTCCGGCGTCCTGCAGCCGTGTTGAGAAACTGGTTGCGTACGTCCACAGTATTCCAGCGCCAACGAGTTGAGACGTGACGTTTTGCGACTTTAGCATTAAGAGAGTAAATTATTATTGCGCGAAAGTATTTTGCTTTTTTGTATATACATAAACTTTATATACTTCCTAACACTGTGTAAAATTCTCTCGATTACGATACAAAGCGAACGTTTCGACTGTTTATCCGACCGTTTTGGGTAATCGTATGTTTATCAATTTCACCTTCGCCGGGGAGATGTAAACGTATGAATTTTGCAGGAAGACAATTTTACATGTATCCGTATTATGGAAAGAACACAGTCGCCAAATTTACAATTCAATAGTAGATAGAAGTACTAACGAGTGACTAACGTCGTATCGAAATTTTCAGTTTAGGAGAAAGATTAATATATTTAATGATCGTTATATGAATATTAAACGAGAAACACGAGGAAATCTTTACGTCGTTCGGTTGCAATGTCACGCGCACGTTCTTCGTTGGAAATATGCTTAGATTCACTTACAACACGCCCCACAGACACGAACGAGCTACGCGTTGTTTTCTCAGCGATTTTACTAAGGCATTTTCGCATAAGGAGACATTATTTTTCTACCGTGTACTTGGCATAACCGAAGTAAGGTGGGACTTTCTTCTCGATGTACCATAAACCGAGTGTAACTGGCAGTCAGTAGACAGTAATTTTTGTAAAGACAATTTGTAACTCACCTCTTACATAAAAGGAACATCTGAAGCTAGAAACTGACTGACTTCTCCTTTTTCTGCATATCATATACGTTGCGTCTCTAAGCTACCACCCATGAGTTACGACGTATTACACACAAGAACACTACCATATGAATTACCGTATCTTTAGCGAGATAACATAGCAATAACTCATCCTCACATGGTACGCACTTAAGAGGTGAATTGGACCGTGACAATACTATTAGAAAGTTAATGGTTGACACAATACGAAAAAAAACCTCGACAGATCTGTGCTAAATGTTTATAAATATAATTTATGGTATACAGCTTTTTGACACTACAGCGAGAAAATACCAATCAAATTTACGTAGTTCTTAAAAATCTACTATTACTTATCTATCTATAATGAAAAATAGCCGCTTTTCCGAGCTTTGACATATTTTTGGCTGGGACTGCCCGTGTTAGAGTGCGTTGGGGAGCGCGCATCAATGCCAAAACTTGAAACATTCTATCCTTGTTTTACATCAAATGAGCGATAAAGATAGACTAGGATAACGCTTTAGCTGATAGCTCGTTCCCCAAACACATTTGCATCATTCTATGTTTATATATATGTATATTTGTAAATATATATACCGATAGAGACGTGTACTACAAGAGAAATTATCGTACTTTTCCCTTATTTTTCGCATTTTTACATATTTATTATAGATTTTATTATAGATTTATTATAGATTTTTACATATTTATTATAGATTTGCAAGATTATTTAATAGGTACATACGTATTTAAAAAGAAATGTGAGGCGCACAAAAAGAAAAATATTGCATTATATGACCAAATCTTCACGAGTTGGCTGTTTTTCAACCGTTATCAGAAATTGTGTATTTAACATATCAACTTCTGAAAAACTGTAAAGGACCAATGATTCGTTTGTTTTCATAATATTTCCAGAAGTCTTTTATTTTCTCTTGTTTTTTTATTAAAACTATAAGAGTAATTTAGTCATTGGAATTAACAAACGTAATATCGAAAGCCGTTTTTGTACCTGTGACATATATATGTAAATAGTGTTAATTTTGATTTCAATTATCTGAACTTTGATATGGTCTTTTTATAATTTTACGCACGTATAGCTCCTGTTTCGATTGATATCTTGTTAAAATCTAAAGATTCATAAGAAAATAGGTTTACGGGCCAACTACCTTAAAAAAAGAAAAACTCGTGCATTTATAAAATGCCATCAGTATTCATCCGGATATTTCGATACCTGAGTAATGTTTGCGGATTTGGATCGTCAAAATTGACGGCGCTACATTTATCTAAATAACAAAGCACAAAACAACACTTTTCAATTGCATAAAAATATTTATTTAACAACACATGGAATTTGGAAATGCGCATAAATGCTTAGATTTTCATAAAAACAAAATGTATCTTCGTACATAGGTGTGTGTATATATATATATATATATATGTTTTGATGTATCTCATTCACATGTACATCTTTGTATATAGTTTGCTTTAAACGAGTGCGCGAGAAATCCACGAACTCCTAAGTGTTTCACCGCGAAAAGGGCACCCGCATCAGGAGTCGCCTTCAGCTGGTCTGCGGTTAATCCGAAACTTGAGGTGGTCACATAAAGAATATCGAGAAGTGGGCCTCCGAATACGACACTGGTTACATTTTCAGCTGGGATCTTAATTTCGCGTATTAATTGTCCTGTCTTCGGATTTACATTGATGACCTGGTCAAAAGATTCATGCTCGAATGACGCGTAATATATACATCCATAAATATATAGATTTTATATCACATATAAGAAGACATACAATAGGCTTCGTAACATTTATTTCTAATGTATTATCTTTATGCTTTAAACGTATCATCCTGTATACTTACACAACCCCCACCGAACACCGCTACCCAAAGGTTGCCGTTTATATCTATGGTCATTCCATCAGGTTCTCCAGGTATATTAGCTGCATTAAAGTCGAACACAATTCTTCTATTAGCTGAAATGTAAAAATCACAAATACACAGGACCCCAAATTTACTTGGTGATTTTGTGATCACGACTGTTTTCAGCCTTACATAGATCTATGCTATAATCCGATATAATTTCAATATATTTACAGCGATGTGCGTTCTAAGACTTCTTACATATTTCTCCACTACATGACTTGTAGTCATATGCTGCGATTTGACGAGTAGGTGAATCAATATAATAGAAAGTATCATCTTCGATGTTCCATATTAATCCATTGCTTGTTGTAACAGGAGATATTTTCTCTTCGACCATGAAGTTTTTATCAATTATGTACAATGATCCTATATTGGGAATGGAGTCTCCATTCTTATCTTCACCCCTAGTTCCTATGGTAGGAAATATTAATTAACATATAATCTCAACATAAGTGACGAAAGTATATAGCATGTAACACCATTGATCAGAACTAATGCGTATCTACATATTTTTACTTTACCTAGCCAAAATCTTCCAGAAGAATCAATCTTTCCATCATTGATTCTCGTTGAAATTCCTGAATCAACGGAACTTAGTTTTTCGATTGGTACATCCGTCTGAGTTTGCTCCCCATTCCAATAAACCATAACAAGATCTTGTCCAACACCTGCTACTAACTGTTCGGAAGTACCTTCTACAGGTGCAACAACCCCAACAGTACCATTTGCTGAAAAAAAATAACATTGAATGAGTTGTTATATTATTTCATGATGTGAGCAGAAGGATAACAATACTTGTAAAAGGGAACACATAGTCTTACCTATGTATGCACTGGTTACAAGACCTGTTTGATAATTAAGTCTACGTATGTACTGATTATATATGTCGACAAAGTACAAGTTCTGAGTAGTGGCGTCCCAAAAAGGGCCTTCAGAAAGGCCATAAGAATCAGTCTCTTTGCTGACAAACGTATGTTGTGTTTCTTCAGCTCGCCTAAGCAAAATATTGAAACAAACGTATGTGACGATATTCATATTGTGTACACTCGGATTGCTGATTGATAATCAACGGTGCCGAGGTGTACATAATGCAAAATGAGAAAATTAATTATGTAATTTTTCTATGCATTATGCGACTGGATAGACCATAGATACTTATCTCACATCCACACTGATCGTAATCTAATAGCACTTTGATTTCACGTTTTCAGACAAAGATTTCAATCGCTGAACTTGTTACCATTATCACGTCATTTTAAACAAATTACAAGATATTCTTTCGATACAAATAAAACACTGCAGGGAGTAAAAACGAGAAGCGGGCTTTGTCCTTTCTGGCTATGCTGTGTGTTACATACGCAGCATTTAAGATGAAATAATGTTATATATCTTAGATTCGAAAGAAAAAGGAATGAAAGAAAGGACGATTACAATGAGTACAGAATATGCGGCCAAAAGACCTACGCCTACACGCGACACGCACTTCTTACACTTTTTCGCACTTCTACCTTTTATTCTCTTTTTCACTCTAAACTATATCACTCCATTTCCCGTGCGAAAAGTGTAAAAAGTGTGCGTGACGAAAACAAATCACAGTGCGTGACCTACAGAGCGAATTGCGTTACAAAACGATATTTACGTTGCCATTATGTCGATTGAGCGTTCTCTCTCGTTCGGAAATATGGTGATAATTCAGTCCGACCGAAAGATATGAGAGCGTCACTGAGAAAACGACGGAGATTTGAGAGCCGAAGTGTTCGAGAGGAACAGATTCGAACGAATAGAATCGTTGAGCCGCGTGGCTGGACGAATTGCTCGAGTAAAATAAAAATGTGTGATAAAGTAATACCACCAATTGTATCACGCAGATGATTATACTGAGCGGCAGAAGACGGGGAATATTTCTTTTTATCTAATAAGCGCGATAAAGCACAATGAAGCAACGTTACTTCACAAGCAAAGAATTACCGTCGGATTATATCGCGCGCTGCATCGCCAATGAAAAATTCATAAAGATTGGTTAAATATTAAAATCTCGATGATAAAAATGCCGTATGAAATTGTATATATATATATCGAAATTATAGCTTAGTAACATTGCTTCATAATGTTACATCGTTTATCTGAAAGTAAAGTGTAACGCGATTTTCTTTGTGCAACAATAATACACAGTACCAGTAAAGATACTAAAAGTACCAAGTATTGCAAAAACTTTATATACGGATATTGCATACAAGATCTAATGGGATTTTCGGTGCAGAATAAGATATAATCAACAACACTCGTGAAAGCAAGAGAGAGAACGCGAGTTGTTTTATGTATTCCTCTTAGGTAAAAATAAGAATCTCTAGTAAATACTCTCATACACTTTTTTCCTTAAATGCTATTGTAATCTATGCTATTGTAAATGCTATTGTAATCGATAACGAAAAAATTACGATCGTTGTATATGGATTTTTCGGATATTGGGATTTACAGAGTTGCAAATATCGCATTATTCGTACGTGCAAAAGGCACGATGCAGTAGAAATGCAAATATTTCCCGATACTGATTATCGTTACTATTAATAAGCCACAGTTCACAAGTCATTCGATTCGGTAGACATTTGATAATTATAAGTGAATTTCACTGATTACCTCTCTCTTTCCTTCTCTCTCTCTCTCTTTTTCTCTCTCTCTCTCTCTCTCTCTCTAAATTCCTTCTCCCTTTCTTTCTAATTACATAATTTCCGTTATAATACACGCACACGTACACAAGCAGTTAAATTTCCATGTATTTCGTCCAATTATTGTTTCGACTCAGCAGAAAATATTATACAATACACATCGCACTGTCAGCGCACATCACTGTCTCGTTTCTTTTCAGAGCAACGCACAAGTGCGACGCTCGTTGGACTACGATAACGAAATGTCCTTTCACTTACTTACCCGTTACAGACGAAGAGAAAACATGCCGATATGTACTTGCAAATTGCGCGTTTCATGATATGCGTTCTGTAATATGCGTCGGGAGATTCAATTTCGTAACGCACAATGCGAAGGCAACACTTCTTATCAGGGTTGACTGGTAGCAAAAAGTAAAACTTTGCGGCAGGTAACTCCTTATATACGGTTGCTCCTACCTTCACCAGTTTCATCGAAATCTGCCAAACAGTTTTACATTTCATTTGGGACGAATGGGTAAAAAGCTTTCCATGGGCGGAGCTTATCTATATAGGTGGAACTGACCAACGTAGATTAACCTGACGGATTGTCCAGATATTGCTTTCTTTTGAATAATAATCTGCGAATACAATTACACTATTCAACCACTCGTGAAAATAAAATACACCAAGGCAAAATATCCCCAATCGATATCACTTAGACTATCGCGGTGATAATTTTCAGCAGAGAGAGAGAAGGAGGGAGGGGGAGGGGGTGGAGAGAGAGAGGTCATGGAGACCGATTGGAGAATAATTTGTCACGATAGAAATATTGCATGATTATTTCCCTTAAGTAAAATCCCAGCGAAAAATAACTCATCGAATCGACATCGATCCGATGTAATTTCGATTATTTCGAGGTCGATTTGAGATGTCAATTTAATGTCGATTCGACGTATATTTCTCACTGGAATAGTCGCAGGACGTCTGACAAGAAATACGTCTGTTTAAACAACTGTTTGAAATACGTCTGTTTAAACATTTTGCAAACATTATTGAATTGCGTTATATATTATAGACAATAAAACATAGAACTCCTTACTCGGAAGAGATGCAAGAAAAAATATATATATGAGCCCTACCTACGATATCGAGGCTAAGATCATCAGTAGAATCTTTCTAACCCAAGCAACGTTTGTCCAAGACACCTTCTGCGGAGATATTTTAAAAGGTAAAAAATTAGAACACTAGCTGTTCTACTGTGCAAAAGTCTGCACTATATGCAAAAGTCGACATATTGCGCGAAGTTCACGATTAAAGCTACGAAACATTATTAGATTTCGACTCATAGAAAATACACGAAAAAATATTTTTACCAGATAAGAGTTAATCGAGAAAAAATATAGAAAGAAGTGGAGCAAAAATACAGTGAGGGGGGGGGGGGGCAGAATACCCATATACGCTCGGTCCATGTATACTATGTGTCCCATGGATATTTGGTAATTAGATATGTATATATCAAAATTATATATGTGCATGTAATTTTGACAATTGCCTGACTATCTATATCGCATGTTCATAAATTATACATTCGCTTTAATGTATTTTTTGTGTGTTACGAAACGTGTTACGAAACGTAACATATATAAAAATAGTAACACGTGTACAAAAAACGTGTACAAAAAAAAAATAATCATCATACGACCGACTGTATTTATGAATATCTAAATAAAAAATACACGGCTGCAGATACATATATATTCGACTACATAAATACTATATAATTAGCAAATAATGGAAGTGGCAAATTAATGAAATGGAACGAGTCGTTTGTCTTGTAAATTTTGTGTTTCTCTGTATAAAATATGAGCCCTTGACCAAAATGCATAGATATTCAATCAAGCGAGCAAGGAAGCAATTACGTAATTTATAACATGGTATTATAACGTGGTACTTCTGATAAAAATGTATGTGCTTACGTCTAACGAATCGTCCTTGAGCATAAAGCATTATCATAAACGAAAAAAGTTTGCTGCATGTTTGCAAAACTCCTCGGTTCGGATATCCTTATCTGATGACGTCAAAAGCGGGAAAGCATGCGAATAATTCTTGCGTTTTACGTTCAAATAAAAAAAAAATTTCCACAAAATGATACTTGTAATCGATTCAACACACTTGTAAAATTGTTTAAACACTTTTCTTCTATTCGACCTATCAATAAATAGTCACAAAATTAACTCGATATGAAATTTACTTTTCTAACCTCTTTTCTCATGATTTTGTTAATGTTAATTTTTTAAAAATAAAAACCAAACAACTGCTCATTGATTGTTTGAGTAAAAGATAAGTGGGACAATTTTACAAGTGCAGCCGATAGTTACAATGCTTCATTTTTCATTCACAATTCGGTCATTTTCATGTCACTTTGACGTTATCGGGATATCCTGTCCTACCTGGGTGGAGAACCTAAGATTTGGACAATTTGAACTTTACACAAGCCGGTTCCGGAAGAAGAGCTGCCATGTCTCTTAATGTTAAATAATTCACACCCTCCCCCGCCCCGATCCTATGACAACCCGTCGAACACCGATGATAAAGAGACGCGACCGCGAACAGCTGACGCGTTACGCGCACTTACCGACCGAGCGCGCGCCGCGTCATCTACCGTCGCAAGCAGAAGCGCGAGCGTGGCGTGCCGGCCAACATCATCAGGTCACGTGACAGTGGCGTATTGATACGTGTCGACGGGGTGAGCCACGACTCGCTACGCTTTGCCAGTCGAGCATACGCGGCCACCTTCGCTCGTGTGCACTCGCTGTGTGAGAGGCTGCTCGGCCTGTCGGTGGTGTTGATTCTCGGGATTCTGTGAAGGAACGTCACTCGATCCGCTCTCGATCGCTCTCAAGGAAAGTCGCATCGACTCAGCCAAGATGGGATGTGAGTATGCTGTCGTCGGCCGTTGATCGGGAATAAAACTGCAAAATATTTTCGCGATGTGTTCGCCGGAAAGCTCTCTCTCGCTCGCTCGCTCGCTCGTAACCTCTCGCACAACATATTGTTGGCGAGGCAAATTACCGCGCGTACGCGCGTCTCCACGCGAGTCCTCCGCTCGTGGCCACGCTAAAACGCCCGGTTTTCTCTGCTTTCAGTCAAGTTTCTCGAGGTGATAAAGCCGTTCTGCAGTATACTGCCGGAAATAGCGAAGCCGCAGCGCAAGGTAAGGCCTCACTGATCGTACAGTCTCTATTTCCGTCTCTCTCTCGTATTTACAGTTTCGTGTACCGTTTTCCCGAAATCCCACGATTATCTCGCGTAAGCCTCGGGCACGATGAAGCATTCTTTTTTTTCACCATCTGTCCATGAGACAGTTTTGACAGTGTACAGGATTATTTCCCACTTACGTGACAGATTGTTCCCGGATGTGAACTTATCTCTCGTAATTTTTGCCCCTTCGCAGATTCAGTTCCGGGAAAAAATGCTATGGACGGCGATCACGTTATTTATTTTCTTAGTATGCTGCCAGGTGAGTCGATAAACAATATTGTTGCCTCGAACGATAATAAAGTAGCAGTTTGCAAATTAATTGAAAACTTAATAAGTAATATCACGAGTACACGTGCCTGTTATTTGCAGATTCCATTGTTCGGTATTATGTCTTCGGACAGTGCGGATCCCTTCTACTGGATCCGTGTGATACTTGCGTCGAACAGAGGAACGCTGATGGAACTGGGTATCTCTCCGATTGTCACTTCTGGTCTTATCATGCAGCTGCTGGATCGCGCGAAGATCATCGAAGTCGGTGACACCCCAAAAGACAGGGCGCTGTTCAACGGAGCGCAGAAATGTGAATACATTGAGTTTCACACGATTGTCGATGTTTAGTCAATGGAAAGTTTAACATCGTTCACTTCGCAGTGTTTGGCATGGTTATCACCGTCGGGCAAGCCATTGTTTACGTAATGACTGGAATGTACGGAGATCCTACGGAAATCGGAGCCGGCGTCTGTCTTCTGATCATCATCCAATTGTTCGTCGCCGGGCTCATCGTGTTGCTGTTGGACGAGTTGCTCCAGAAGGGATACGGATTGGGAAGCGGCATATCGCTCTTCATTGCCACCAATATCTGCGAGACCATAGTCTGGAAAGCGTTCTCGCCAGCCACAGTTAACACCGGTACGCTCGATTTCGTCATGAAACAAAGACGACGAGAGACAATAATCTTCGTACGATCCAAGCTCGAACGTTGCGTACACCTCGACTGAGATTTCTCATCTGCGTTCAACAGGTCGTGGCACGGAATTTGAAGGAGCCATAATCGCTCTGTTCCACTTATTGGCCACCAGGCAGGACAAGGTCCGGGCTCTCCGCGAGGCGTTCTACAGACAAAATCTTCCGAATCTGATGAATCTTCTCGCCACCATCTTAGTGTTCGCTATCGTTATCTACTTCCAGGTAGTTTGATCGACGTATTCTCGAGAAAGATACGCGCAAAGCTGCGAACGATTCATTTATTATCGGCGTCTCTCCGATAACTAACGAGCTTTTATACTTACGTAGGGCTTCCGTGTGGATCTTCCGATCAAGTCCGCTAGATACCGCGGTCAGTACAGCAGTTACCCGATCAAGCTATTCTACACCAGCAACATCCCGATCATCTTCCAGTCGGCTCTGGTGTCCAATCTGTACGTCATCTCGCAGATGCTGGCGGTCAAGTTCCAGGGCAACCTCATAGTGAATCTATTGGGCGTTTGGTCGGACGTCGGCGGCGGCGGTCCGGCTAGGTCATATCCGGTCGGCGGATTATGCTACTACCTGTCACCGCCAGAATCAGTCGGCCACATCGTTCAGGATCCCGTCCACGCTGTGCTGTACATCCTCTTCATGCTCGGCTCGTGCGCCTTCTTCTCGAAGACGTGGATCGAGGTGTCCGGCAGCTCGGCAAAGGATGTTAGTACAAGCAAAAATAGAGGAGAAACTCTCTCCCGCGGACAATTGCGTGAGAAAAATGTGTCTCACGTTTGCGCATCGTTGAATTTGCAGGTCGCCAAACAACTGAGGGAACAGCAGATGGTGATGCGGGGCCACAGGGACAATTCCATGATCCGCGAGCTTAACCGTTACATCCCGACCGCCGCGGCGTTCGGCGGATTATGCATCGGCGCGCTCTCCGTGCTGGCGGATTTCCTCGGCGCGATCGGCTCCGGCACCGGTATCTTGCTCGCTGTCACGATCATATACCAGTACTTCGAGATCTTCGTCAAGGAGCAAAGTGAAATGGGTGGCATGAGCACGTTACTCTTCTAAACCTAATCCACGTATAGACACGAAAAGTGAACTTTTTTAATTCTGAAGAAAAAATGAACTGAATAATAATTTATTAAAGTAAAGTAAGTCGAGTTGACAGCATGCGTGCGTGTGTGTGTCAAGCGCATCTATGGGATGATGATAGACACACGCACCGGTGCCAGCGAAGGGTCCCCGCGTTATACATATATATAAAAGTTACACGTACACATACACACACACACATACACACATATTCACACATACTTCATTGACTCACTATTGATACCGTTGTGGACGATACTCTGCTCAAGAAAAAAAAAGAAAGAAATTATTACAGTGGGTAATCTTTCCAGAAGAAGAACGGAAGGCGCTCTCGTGTGGCGTTTTTCCTACGCGGAATCTATCGATGTGTGACCGTTGACACGACATACTTACTAAAATCTGCCTCCCGGGAAACAATACTTGTTTTTACGTTGCACTTACGTGAGTGAAGAGAAATTCTGTTTATACGTTAAAGAAGAGAGAGGGAGAGAAAGCGTACCGTTTATTTTTACATTAAACGTTAAAGATTCTACGTTACGTCGAATCGACACACGAAGGTACCGGTCTTTGAGGGGTTAGACGCATTGACCAAGTGTAGAGAGAAAGAGTGTGTGAGAGAGAAGAAGAAGAGAGAGATAGACAAACTCGAACGTAACATTGAAATGCTCGTGAATGCAAGTGCGAAAGATATCCCGCGGGATACTCCGTATTCGCGCGCAAGATGTAGTATCTCTCGTACAACGAGCAGTGTACATATAGTAAGAAAGTAACTGAATATTTTCATCATATTTTTTTTTTACTAGTGTTTCTGGCTCTGCGTGACGCGCAGCAGCCACATGAAGACTCAGCGACGCGCGAATAAAAATCGCGAACGTTCGTATGATGAATTAAACCGTTGCGTACGATGGCGGCGTAGTCATTCGTCAGGACGAGACACCCACCTAGGGTAATTCGTGCAGCAATCCGAACAGCGTTCGTTCATCTTAGGCACCGTCATTCCTTGTATCGATATAATGATAACAAAGTAAATTAATATGTTTCTTATATATATATATATATATGTATTTAGGAGAGAGAATGTGCTTTTATAAAAATTAAAATATACCTTTTTTTTCGTCTTCCTTGTTTCATCCCACTCCCGTAGGCTTCGTCGGCACTCTGTTACGCGCTGTGCGCACGGTTCTTTCTCGCCCGAGCGGTACTTGTGTTTGAAGATCGTAGAGACCGGATTTCTTCTATTTATATGTGCGAACAGATAACGGCCGAGTACGAGGAATTACAACAGGGAATTGTATGACTTGATCGATTATATCGTAAGAAGAGAAAAAGGGAAGGATCCATGCGTTATTGTGTAGTACGTTAATATACTTAAAGAACAATTGTATACAAGAAACTAGTAAAGATTACTTCCTATTTTATACGATGTGATTGTCATTTTCTACTTTACGTAGAATTGTTATAAAAAAGAAAGGAGGATAAGCGAATTTTAAGTATTGTTATAGAGTATCAATGTAACAAGAAACATTGAGTGTCCACAAATGTACTTACTGTTAATGGTGTTCAACATGAAATCTGCGAAAATATTTAACCTTAATATTTCTAATTTTAAGGCATATATATATATGTATATATATATATATATATATATATAATGTTGTAAAATATAATGCAGTCGTGCTTTTCTCATCAAACGGAGCGTTTTGATAATGTTTTGTATCGATCATATCGCATACGTCATCTTGGTTTAACACGATATCGAGGTTTTACATTTTTGCAGAAAGCGACTGCTCTGTTAAGCGTGATGTTCAAAGGTATGTGCAAAACCAATAAAATAAATAATACATATTTAAATTTAAAAACGTCCTTTGTCCTTTACAATAACGCAGCCCGAGGTAGACTCGTATGGCGATAAAAATACTATAATTTAAAAAAATCACATATATATGATATTTGAAGAGCGAAGAGTGACAGATGTATTGGGATTCAGGTAACACTTTAATTTTATTACCGCCACTTCCGATCAGTGTTATGTACAGTCGTCGAAATCGACGTGAATCCCGCGTCTGAGACGCGGCACGTTCTTATTGTTTGTTCTCATTGTAAAATAACGTCGAGTACAAAGATCCCAGAGTATGAATATTCGCTAGCAGCACCAGACGAAGAGTATCCGTGAAACGTGCGTTGGGCATTGACGTGTCAGTGTCTCTCCAAGCTATGTTAGCGCCTTCGGTACGAGTGAACAAAGCCGGGGAAGGCACGTGTTCGCGCATGTACGCCCATACGCATTCCTTCATCACCGTGTTGATCTGCAAGCCGCAAATCGCGTGTCAGACACGTCAAAGACAAAACCCTCAAGGTCCCTCGCTGCTGGTCATTTCTCGTTTGATGACGTCAGAAGCGAGAGAAAGCATGTCCGAAACTCTTGTTGAAATATGTTGAGATAAAAACATATCCACAAAACGACACTCGTGATCGACTGAACACACTTTTATAATAATCCGTGGAAAAACTTACTTTTCATTTCAACGATTAATAAATATCCATAAAATTAACGCGACAAAATCACGAAAAAAGATGAGTTAAGAAGAGAGATTGTACGTTATGTCGGCGAGGAGCCTTAATTGCTACAGGCAAAATCATTGACGCTGCAGTATCGACGGAGATTCGACGAACACAATCGACTACCTGGTGCAGCTCCAAAACGGGCAGGATGTCCCGGATACTCGCCAACGGCGGCGGTAACAGTTGACCCAGCGCCATTATATTGACGAGAGAAACGCCATCCTCTGTATTCCAGTTGGCCATGACGGTCGCAGCGATGCCTCTGAGTAAGACCGAGCTGTACGCCAACGCTGGTCTGTACCAGGCGGTCAGTTCCAGCAACGTCCACAGTAGAGGTACGTCCTTGAACTTCCGACGGATTTGCAGGTCTCTTTCTATCGTCACCTGCGATAGTTATTATCATTAATAATGATCGATTCAATCAACAAGGTGCTTTGTGTTGTATCTAGGCGATGAAAATTACTTTGGTGAACTCCTCGTCGGGCCACGGAAGACCGTTGTACATAACATCGGGTGATACCAATTCAACCAACAGCAGACTGACCATCATCAAGGCGTCCAAGTTGACGGGATATCGATCCGAATCCTGGTTACTGCAACACGCCTGAAAACGTCCAAATTAAGCATCGTAATGCGTCGTCACTAACTGGTTCGTTAAGCACCGTAAACTCGATTAGATTCTTCACCTTTATAACGTCTATTAACAGCATCTTGTTTACAGCAATGACCTCCTTATCGATCAAATTTTCAGGCGGTAGCCTCCGTGGGCCGTGTCCTATCACACCGGCGTGAAACACCGACGAGTGTCGCTGCGCCAACATGGTGCTCGTCACCTGCAGAAATGCGAGATCAATTCAGATGTGTACACACGCGTCGATAAAATCGCGACCGTTGAAGTATCCGGAACAAGTTAAGATATATCTCGTGCGTTTTCGAGGCGTTTGCCATGTCGTATCTCAATGGAAGGTTCACCTGTTTATGATTCTGATGTAGCAGCAACATTTCCTCGAAACGAGGCTCAAATTTCTCCTTCGCGCCGAAGAACTGGGCCTCCTCGTTATCGATACTGTTCTCTAATATTTCTCTGAGCGCCAACACGCGCGCGCACGGTGAGTAACATGTCAGATCTCTCAGCAGGTGGCACACTGTCTTTACACCTTGCTGCTTCTTGATGACGTCTGGGAAATGATAGATTATATTTTATTTATACTCTACACTTTTCCTAAAGAAACTTGTAACCCTCTCCCTCAGAAGCTTTTAATTACCAGTTTGTGCAATGCATAGAAAGAAGTAATGAATGAACGCCCTCGTCAGTCTCAGCATAAGCTCCACGTTGAGAATGTGATCCTTTTCGGGCGTGCTCAGCAGATCAAGCAGAACGATCATGTCGGTTGCCAGGTCGAAGTCGTTGGTTTTCGCTAATAAACAAGACACTTGATGTAAATTCGATCTGAGCGCCCTGGTGATCATCTTCGACTGCAGTATCGCCGCTTTATTCGACTTTTCCCACCTAAGTGACATTAAAAGCGATAAGATTACAATCCTTTGCTTTGTACTTGATCGGGTCTAACATCAGTCGTATCGGATGGTCGATACTTGCTTCAACAATATGATGAGATTTTGAAATAACTGTCTCAACTCTTTCTTGTCTACGACGTTCTTATAGTGTATCTCTCTGAGCGCTTGCTCCAAGACCTGCGTAAAGTGGCCGCTACCGACGAGGTTATTCTCAGACTTGTTCACGGGGAACAACACGATGTTGTTGGTGATGAGACGCAACAAGGCGGCGAGATGAAACGTCGTTTGCGCCTTCACCAACATATAAGCCGCCATGGAGACGACAATGTTTTGGCTCCGGCCTTGGAGGAAGCATAGCAATCTGACGGCGGTCTGTACGCGCAGCGGGTTGGGATTCAACAACATCGGCTCCAACAACGAGATATCCTGCCTGATCGAATTCAACAGGGCGACTTTGTTGGTCTGAGGCCCGTGCGTTCTCAAAAAGAGATCGATCTCTTGCAGTATCAGCTCCAATATCTCGCGGCACACGTTCTTCACGTTTTGCGCCGCGTTGACGCTGTGATAGCCGACGTTGCTCGTGTTTAAGCTAGTGTCCAACAGTATGTTTATTATCTGCAACGCGCCTTGCTCGCATCCCAACGCCAAGTGCACGGTCAGGTCCATCAATGCTTGTGGCTGATCGTCGAAATACCTGCACCAGTCCGCCGCAAACAACGCGAGACGTGGTATGACGTCCGGCTTCACTATAATGAGAACTCATACCGTTACAGCGTTTGTGACTTACATGTTGTGATTTCAGTTCTACATGTGACTGTAAACATACACATGGAGGAACTCACGCGTTTGTAACACATCGCAGGTTACTGCTTTTAAGAGGGTCGGCGACAACGACGCTAGATTCAAGAGGAACGGCACTGTAGCCAATTTCTGCTTCTTGATATCTTCATCGAGCTTTACATCCTCAACTAAGCTCCACTGTAAAAAAAAAAAAAAACTGAGAATTTATTAATATACAAATTGAACTTGAAAATGCACACACTAACACACACACACGTGTATGTCTGTCAAATATAAGGAAAACGGACTTACCCCAAATAAATCCAGCAATGCCCTCCTGATATCTTGAGAATGACTACCTGCTAAATGTCCTAGTATGCCAACAACAGAATTCAACTTTGGATTCTTGACGTTATGCTCGTAACCAACAGCGCAGAAATCTTTCAGGCCACACGACAGTACCCTGGTGATCACTGTGTTTGGGAAACAGCTGCCTACGTGAGCGACGACCCAATCGAAGTACGGGCTGTGTAGCACACTGGTATCTAACAAAGCCTTGATGCAAGACTCGGTATCAGAATGCATGAGACACTGTAAACATTGAGCCGTGATATCTATGAGAGTTCGAGTTGCGCGGCATGACATCCACTGCTGGAGAAAATCGTTGATGCTGGGCTTCGCGGGCAAGTTGCCACGTTTCGAGTAGTCGGACGACAGTTTGCCTGTGCGAGAGACGAGACATATTTTGCCAAATCGTATTGTGTACTCTGCTTGATATGTAAATTGAACAATTCCAAGTAGTACCGAGCAATTCCAACGACCACGCTGACACAATGGGCGCCCATGCCTCTGGATTTCCATTGATGAAATTACTTAGAACGGTATGGATCTCCGCTATGATGCTTTCTTCCGGTATTGCCGTGGTTTGTTTTGTCTGTAGAATGATAATTACGTATAAATTATCGTGCCGTAAGAGGCGTGTTAATCAAACGTGTCGTCCGCGTATACGCACCTCGAGTTGGCGAACGTATTTCGTCACCGCGACGAAGAACACGTTGCAAAGATACTCGAGCACGGCGTCCCTCGTCGCGGGAACGTTTTTCAACAGGAATAACGCCGTACGCGTCACATCTTGCGCGTTTGTGCCGTGGGAAGGCCTAACGGCGCCGGAGATGAACTTCCTAATCTCGGCTAGGATATCTTGAGGCGACAAAGACGCCATATCGTGTATCATTCGTAGCGAATCGTCCATAATAACGTATTTAGTCGTCAACCATTGTCCGATTCACTTCCCTACTTCTAATAAGTACCGTACAAATGCATCACATTACAACTTTGATCCGTGCGGCGGCTCCCACCGATTGAGAGGTTATGTCGCACATGCCGCAAACGGGTGTTGCTGCTTTCGGTCTCGCCGCGTTTCCGGTTTGGAAATTTCCGAGGCGGACGCGTTTTCTCTTCCGTACTTATCATACAGCGTACCTCTCTAATGAAAAGATTGACATTATACTGGAAAAATGCCCTTTAATAGATAACTTATGCCGGATACATATAACAATTATAAGAAATGATTCCGCAGTTCTAGTCTTACGCAAAACAGTATAAATATCTCTCGGTAAAATATAACGTTTGGTTGGTCTCAGTAAAGAATATTTCAACGTCTCTTCTTTTTTTCTTGCTTGCGCGGCCGGTGAGGTCTTCTCGGTGTCACTTGCGGGCTATTTTCGGAACATTCCACATCGCTTGGATCATCCTGCAATCAACGTCATCCAATGAAGACAGAAGTAGAAAAAGTTACATCCTTGGTAATGATAAGATAAGAGAGTTATACCTTTAAAGCTGCCACACCATCCGACGGACCTGCCTGGTAGATCACTATGGCTAGTAAACACATGATTTGGAATACCGCACCCACGTAAAGTCCAAATCTCAGCAACTGTTCGAACAAAGTCTCCTCTGCTGGCAGCAAAAAGCGTTTAAACTGTGGATCCGTATCCGCCATTTCTACGAACACAAGATAAAAATGAGCAACAACAGCCTCCTCTGCAATTGATATAATTAAAGAAAAAAAAGAGAAAAAAATATCCAAAACATTTCACAATCGAAATTAACGGTATTTATATATCAACATTATTATTTCAGCGCCTGTGTCGCATATTTATGCGTTCGTACTTGATTATTTATTAAATGAATGGTTCCGGAACGGGCGATAAATACTGCATCTCGCGGGTGGAGAAACGCGCGGGTCAGCTCGCGCGTCGAAAAGTAAAATGCTGGTTGAAGCGCGCAAGGAGCATATCGTCCCGTCTAAGTCAAAGCCGCGGACGCGTATAATTATTCGAAACATCCCGTTCATTCGTGAGGTTTATTCTCAAGGCTCTGCCTGGCTCCACTATTATTTCGTTTTTCTTCTCTCTCTTTCCCCTCCCCTCCCCCTTCTCTCTCCGTCACGCCGACATTCCATTCTCTTCCCCCTCGGGAGCTTTCGCGCGACGATTTTTTCTCCTTTTCTCGCGCGTGGAATTTCTCCTAACGATCCCGCCTGCCTCACGATCATATTATCCTCCACCGACATCGACGTCTCCGTCGGCCGTGCTTCTTCCCCGATACCTGCTTCTCAATCGCGCCGGCACATGGTGTGTTGTCGCGATATTTACACGCGAGGGACATATATACGCGGCGAAGCGAGGAAATCAATAATCCTCGGCGGTCGGCGCGACGGCCGTCGTCCCGACAAATCTTGCCAACATTACGATACGAGCGCAATATGTTGACTGGCGGCAACGTTCGGCGGAACGCGTTGGGCACGTAGTGCGGCCGTTTCCGGCTGTCGCACGACGCACGGTAACACGGCGGTTATTCGCGGCGTTTCACGGCGGTACGAGCGATCCATCCGGCGGTTTCGCGGAATATCGTTGTAGCGGTGAAGGCGGCGATGGCGGAGAGTATTGGAGCGCGATCGAGCTGAACGTGGGGCGCGCGCACACGTTCATCGGCGCCTCGATTTACGCGCCACCGAACTGCGAGCCGTTCGCTCGGCACGGCTCGGCGCGATTCGGCTCTCCTCGCCCCTGACGTTGGCAACGCACGGGCAGTGGACCTGCCCCAGCCGTCGGCAGATGGCGTTGCCGCGCCACCGCCGCGCCACCGTCTCGCCGCGGCGGCGATTCCTCGGGCCGACGAGAGTACCTGTCAGATTTGCGTTTCGGCGCGAATCGTTGGATCGCGCGATCCCCCGCGATCCGTTGTCACTTCGTACCGCGTCGCGGACTCCCCGATGCGGTCGGCTCGCGCGACGAGAACGCACGGTCGCGCGCGAGTCAACGCGACGATCCGTCGCGCGAATCCACCGCGTTCGAATCTGGCGCTGCTGGATCGGGTAGAGAGAGCTGGTTGCGAGGCTCGGTCGCTCGCGAGTCCGTGGATGTGAACCTTTGTTTTGTACAGAAGAATGGCTGCCATGTCTAGTTTTCGATTGATGTTTTCCGTGGTGATCGCGAATTCCCGTGTTTACCGCGGTATTTAATAACGAGTGATCGGCCCGCGTGCTGAATCGGCATCGGCCGCGATGTAAGCAGCGCACGCACGTACGTCGTTTTCGCTGCCTTAGTGTCCGTTTCGTCGAAAAATGCCTGTGTTTACATCCGAGTTACCATCGAGCTTCTGTATTCCTGTCACATTAAGGTAAGAGACGCTTCCACGAGGGGTTAACGTCGTCCGGCCGAGCCGGAGGGCCTGGATCTCGTGAGAGTGCGCCGCGAAATCGCGAGCCGACGTTCACCGGTTTGGCCCCGTCGTCGGCGACGGTTGTTCGTGTCGATCGTCCTCGTCGCTTCCAGCCGTCGTACGCGTCGTCGTGGGCCCCACGGCTGGTGCTCGACGGATCGCGACCTCGCGCACGCCTTCGCGTGTCCTCTCCGTCGGGAAATCGCGGCGAAGATCGAACGGGAAAGCGACGCGTATGAGCGTGTCGTACTTAACCAAAAAAAAAGTTCGGTCCCCCGCGCAGTAGGAAATCGGCCTGGCACGGGTGACCCGACATCGGGGGACCCGCGACGACGGTGGCCGTGGCGACGTCCGCCACGTCGCCGAGTTCCCTCGTCCTCGGCTACCGCGACAGATATTCTCCCCGTTCTGTATACGTATCTCCGTGTCCGCAATTTTTCGTCCCGAATGGTGGCAACAATGGCTGGTAAAATGGTGAGCGAGGGCAGGTCAAGCACACGACGTATCGTCGCCGCGTCGAAACCTCCGGCTGGTTTTCCGCCGAAGGAGTCGCGCCGACTCGATTTCATGGGTCTCTCGTCGACGGCGGTCGCGCGGGTTTGCTTCGATTATCCGAAAGAGAAACCGCCATGCACGACCGCATTCGACGCATGATATTACCTATATTCTCTCTTTCTCGATTTGGGAAAAATGACTTCTGAATTTTTCTTTTTTTTCTTTTTTTTTTCCATATCGTCAGAGTTTATTTGTATCGGTCCGCCGTTTTTACCACCAAGAGGAGCACTGATAGGTAACACTTGAACGGTATCTTTTGTAACGCGCTACCATTAGTCGATGAGCAGCAGCAGTTGTCAATTCGTGCCCGATCTGTTTACCTTCCAGAATCAAATATTTCCCCTCGCTCATCAGTCGGTTTTCAATCTCCCTGCGACTCGGAGAGCCATCTCTCTCGGCTGTGATCGACTTCTGACAATTGCCACGAATAGAAATATTAAACCATCTGTCTCGTATCTCGGGCGAATACTTGAAACTTTCTGGAGGCAAACTTTTCTCAAGTGCGCCTGGAAAGGTAAGAGAAGGCATACGGGGAGCCAGGGGAAAGAAGTGCGAAATCACAGTGTGACAATAAGGGATAATACTTTATTAGCATACAAAGCTGCCCCGTTGTAAAAGCAAACGTCCTTGCAATTTCTACCTAGTGCAGGCACAGATCCCTCCATCATTCTCTCTGGCCATCCTGATGTCAAGTAGAAACGTTCATTGCACGTAGCTGGATTTCCAAGAGAGATTTGTTAAGTTATTTGCTCGAGAGGAGGGAGGGGGGAGCACATTTGTCAAAACCTGCTTCGTTCTGTTATCAACGGACGCGCTTTGTCAACATAATATTGTGTAAACAATCATCATAGTTGCGAAAGGAAGAGATACCACCGTTCGCAGAAGACATTGCGTGTGATTTCGATTGGCGTCGCTCCCCCCTCCCTCCCCCATTTTCTCATTTATTTATATCTCTTTTTTTCAGCGTATCGATGGTTTCTTTTTTCTTTTTCAATCGAATCAGTACTGAAACTCCATTCCTTTTCTCTCGATCGCTAGATTTACATACGTGCTTCCTTCTAACGGTAAAAAATGCAACCTAGTCGAGCCAAAAAGAAGGGACCGTAAAGTCGCGTCGGGCGACTTCGAACGCCAGTGTCGATCGCGTCGATCGTGTGCATCTCGATCGGATCGAAGAAAATCGATTGATTCGTCCGGAAGGTGTTCGCGACGACTTGGACGACCGAGTCGAAAACCAATTTCACACACGGCGGGAATAGAAAAATGCGCTGCCAGGAGGCGCTCTCGTCTCGACGCGGCGGCCATATTGCCGCGGTTCGCCCTGCTCACGCGTCGTCCCCTGATTCCTCTTGCCTCTCTCTCTCCCCCGCGGCCGCCCGTTTACGGAGACCACCTTTTAGCGATCCTTTCATGAACGCGTGATCCCTTCCAATCGTACTCTCCTGTCTCTCCTATTTTCTCTCTTGCCGCTCTCGTGTTCTTCCTCTCTCTCCCTCCCTCTGTCCCTCCCCTCTCTTCCCCTGCTGCCGCTTCTAAGTTTCCTCGCTCGTCGCTACATACGAAAGCCACGTACAAGAAGCGCGTTTGGCTTTAAACCGCGGCCGTTCGATCACGTATTTCATGTATTTGGTGTATTATCGCGCAGGGAGATCGGTATTAGTAGGTAGAGGGTTCGGAATGCGGTCTGTCTCTGCGAAGGCAGCGCTTCGAACGCGGCGAATCGCGCGAGTATTCGATGGGATCCGTCCGACGGATGGAACGCGAAAGCAATGGTGCCGATACCAAATACCCGACGACGGTTCCGTTTCCGCTCCGTCCCGCAATTTCAACGCCTTTCTCTTTCTCTCATTCTCTCTCTCTCGCACTACACGCGCACGCGCGCGATTTCGAGAATCATCCCGCGAAACATATCGCACACGAGAAGACACGCTCCTCCCGGGTTTACATCCCGCCCGCGCGGATCTATATCCTATTTTTAGATCGCGCGGCACGGCTGACTTGAACTCTCGCTGCCGCGCGCGCCGTGGCGATACGCCGGAAATGGGATATTAACGAAACGTCGCTTTGCGCACGCGTGATCAGCGCGTATCTGTAGTCAAAATGCCGTGGCTGCTGTACGCAACGACGCGTTTTTTTTCCCTTTGAAGCGGAATCCTCCCCCGCCCTATTCGACACTCCGACGATTGGATGTAAACTCGGCGAGGTGATCCGCCGCGCTGAATCTCGCCGGTGCGCCCCAACAAACGGAGCTTCGTGAATTTATCGACGAATCCCCCGCGCGCGATCCACGCACGTCAGCTATTAGTTTTCGAAACATCAGCGGCAGCGACAAAGGCGGACGGGAGGGAGGGGGCTTGCGATTTGCAGCGGCTGATCTCGCCACTGGAGTGGAAATCGGAGGGTTAATTGGTAGATCGCTAATCGGCCCGAGTGCGTTCGATTAAAACGATATCGATTCGCTTAACTGCGTTACGCGCGCATCATGCGGGGCCACGTTTACGCACGAATCAATTAACGATCGGCACATCCGAATCTCCCCTCCCCCACTGCTCTCGACCATTTGGGTAACAACAAATACGGGTGCTTAGCGTGTACAACTCGATTACGACTCGTGTGTGATCAGTGGTAAGAGAGAGGGTTACATCACTTTCGACACACTCGACGAAACTCGGAACACATCCGGTAGCCGATGGGAAAATTCATCCTCTGAAACCCCTTATCAGATTCGGGATCGGGGATTGAGGATTGAAACTTGACCTAGTGGGGACGAATTGAGCCGACGTCTCGGGTTTACTTGATTGAAATTAACCGATCTAGGGTGACTTTCACCAATCTCAGATTAAACTGATCGACGAATGATACCAGGAATCGCGGACAACAGTTTCCAGTTGTCTGTGATTCGTTTCGATCAACAATACTTGAAGGGTTAATCATTTCCGTCTGCGTTAGCACAAGATGAAGCGGGTAATGCTTGACTGACGGCAATTTTAAATCGTCGATTAGATTAATCCAAGCTTGGTGAAAGTCACTTCTGTTCTGGCGCTACAGAATCAGCAGAAAACAGATTCTCCTATTGGGTGCGGATGCGTTGCGAGATTTGAAATTGAAAAAAAAAAAGAGAACAAAAGAAGTGTTGCAAACTCTCTATGACGTGTGTGTACGTGTGTGTGCGTGTAGATAACTCGATCGTAGTTTTCGCGACGCAGCCAATAGCGAAATGCTCTTAATCGAAACTCGCTCGCTCGCTCGCTCGTTCTCCCTCTCTCTTTCTCTCTCTCTCTCTCTCTCGCTTTCCGCCGCGATAATCGAATTGTATCGCGCGAGCGCGTTTCTCGCGAAGCGGCACACACTCGGTCGGCGGGCAAAATTCTCTCGGTGTGGGCGAGCGACGGGCTGCCCGGCGATGTGATGGTGTTCCATGCCGCGAGGTGAAATCATATCGACCGCGAAGGGAAGGAAGTCGCGCGGGCTGACGATCGTGCGAGCGAACGAACGAGCGAGCGAGCAAACAAGCGACGACGACGTGCGCGCACAGCCGAGGTCTGAGCCGAGCTCTCGAGACAACACAGTGGTCCTTTTACGAGTAATCTCCCGCAGATTCGTTTTCCCGCACGAGTCCGAGATGGGAGTGACACTTGCCGCAGAATTAAACGCGCTAATTGACCGTTTGCTAATTGCGCCTCGTTATCTAACCTGCGATTCACGGCGCGTAGGGCGGTACGTGCAAACGCGTTATCTCCGTTAGGACGAGAGAGAGAGAGAGAAAGAGAGAGCCGCTGCGTGTCTCTCCCGGAGACGAAATGCAGGATGATTGTGTTACGGCAACATGATTGCATATGTGTCATGCGGCGATGCGCATCGTTTTGTAATTCTGTTACCCAGAGTCATGCGCGAAACAAAGAGTGTTTCCCGGGAGAGAGAGAGAGCATTCCCCGGCACGGAGCGCGTCAGCGGCCGAAGGCGGTCGAAGGTTATCGCGCGCGCGAGGTTTCCTCCCTCCCCCGGCACGCTCGCGCGGGGTTTAACCTTAACCCGCGCACGGGTTTCGGCCGTTTCGTCGTCGTGGCCAATCGATAACTGCATTTCTGGCCGTCATCGTCCAGAGTTTCGCCGCTCTCGCGTCCTCCGTCGGTTCCTAATTGTGGCGAAGCCGTGAGTCGTCGGCCGATTGACTTTTAAAACGAGCGCTCCATAATTCATGAATCATGCAAATACCAATCAGCGCGCCCCTTTAGCTATAATCCTATATCGTCGCGATTGGTCAATTCGCGGCAGCGCGCGGACGCGCCTGGTGGTCGCGATTCGGTTTCCTAACCTCGAAAATGTTCCGGACACTGCTTCTTTCGTCTCTCTCCCTCACTCTCTCCCTTCGCTCCCTCTCCTCCTTCTCACGAGACGCATTT